AATTCCTGGATTGTCCATAGTTATTTCTTTCTTTTAAAAAAATGCTCATATCTCGGAAACGGTAAGAGATAGCTCAAAAATAACGTAATTTTCGGGGGGTACTGTATGGGTTGTTTGTGTTAGCTGCCCTCACATTTCCAGTAGTACAAGCTGAAAAACGTGGTGTCGAACCGCTGTTATTTATAGCTTTTATTTTTGCATCATGTTTCAACATCTGTATTTATCCGCTAGTATTCAGGTTATATACGAAGTCCGGTATTCGACATTTAGGATTTACATCAACGTGATTAACTCTTTTTTCCAGAAAGGCTCATGTAACATGGTTTGTTGATCTTTGATGAAATTATGAGGTTTTTTTCCTAATTTTTTTTATTAACACAGAAGTAAACCCAAAAACGTATTAATGAACATGTACATAATGTCCTTTTTTATTAAATTTTCTGCACTACTAGAACACACTTACCATTATACAACTCAGTATCGTACGATTTTAGCGAAAAGTGTAGATGCGGACAGTTGGTCTAAACAAGAAGTTTCTCATACACTTCTGCGGGCAAACTGAAGAACTCCACTTTCTGATTGTGGTTGAACATTGAATGATAAACTAAAAAAGTCAATTACATAACTAAAACATCTTCATCCCATGACTCTTGTTTTTTTACCATCTAAAGTAAAAATTACGGCATTCATTTTTCTCCGTGTATTGCAGCATAAATATTAAAAGCATTCATCAAATAATTGAGGTTTAACGTACATTTGGTTCCATTATAAATGAAATTTCTGTAAAACCCATTATGACTGTTGAATTATAAAATATGTATATTTTTTAAGGAAAATAAAGTTTTACTGAAAAATAATAAATCCAATTAGCTTAAATATATCTAATGTATATTTTCACAGCAGTATTAGCAACGATACAGAATTTTACAATAAGGCAAAACAAAATCTTCACAAAAATGTTAATACATTAATCGTATTAGAAAAAATTAATATTAGAAATGAAAGTTTGTTTGTTTTTTTTTTTTTAATATTAGTTGCATTTTTTTTTAATATAAAAGAATTAGAAATGTCTTTTAAGGATTTTGTCCATAAATATGAGACTATTGAATCTCGTCTCACAATGTTTTATTTTTATTTTAGAATATATAATTATAATTACTTATCTATTCTTATACTTAATTAAACATTTTCGAGAATATCTGCAAAGTAGATTTGCCGTTAAAAAAAAGGAAAAAAAGTTGATACATGATTTGTGCCACATAAATATAAAACTAAGTTTGATTTTTTCTTTCTTCTTTTTTTTCTTTAATATAATAATGCAGAATAAGAGAATTAACCAATATTTACATAATATATATTCTCTTCTCCATAATCAGCTTTTTAATAATCGTTAACAAACGAATTTTCTGTTTTACAATTGAGCATTTGCATCTGTCAAAATACTAGAAAAAAAATTTAAGAATGCATTAAACGCATTTGATCTGGTTTTGTAACAAAATGATTCAAATCAAAATACAATTGTGGATGAAACTTCTACAAACACTCATATATCTATGAATCCCTAAATTTAGGGGGCAATCAATCAATTAATACAGTTTATTATAAAAACGATTACATCTAGGCAGGCTAGATTGCGATAATTATTTATTAGTTTATTTATTTATTTTATTATTTTCAGATCGTAAGTATACCAATTAGTTAATGATATATTAAAATTTTTAACAACAAGCAGACAGATATCTACTTCATTTGAGCACTAGTATCCTTTAATGATGTTTTATTTACCCCGAACCGGATTGATACTCAAAAGGAGTAGCTTTCTGCCTTTTTTCTTTCTACCTATAATTAATTATGTTTAGTGAAACGTTTAAGCAACGTCTGCAAATCGCAATTATACTCAACATCATTCGGTAATCTTTTCACCAGTATTCAAATAAGTGATGTAATAAATCACTCTAAAACCTTAAATTATTGTTTTAATGGCATCCAAATATGTGAGATTTTTTATTCTGTAAGAATAACTACTTATACTTTCTTGCAATACTTGGTATTCAAAGAAAATTCAGCATTTTTCTATTGTTGTTGTTTTTTAAAGGGCATTTGGTCCTTTAATAAATGATATTTTTCGTTCTGATTAATAAATCTATTTTACATTATTTTATATATCTCATGTTATTTAATAACGCTTTTAACTCCATAGTTTTTTGTCAAATAAAGACTTAATAATCATAACAAGTCATTAAGATAAACTCAAAACAAATTTGTAATTTTTTTCAACTTCTCTTCATATACTTTGCTCTATTCCTGTATATTTGTTTTATTTTTTATTTATTTTTGAGTAATAACTGGTTTTTGTAGACAATAGCAGTATTGAAATTAGTAGCAATATGAAATTTCAGTTAAAAATAGTACGAAAGCTCGTTCAAAGATATATTAATTTATACGCGAGATTATTTGTATGTCAGTGGAAAATTTTCTTTGAGAAAATTATTAATTATAAATTCGTCGTATTCTTTATATTGTTCAATTATAATCTAAATGGAGCTCGTTGATCGATAGGTGTAGCTTTTGATCCTTTGCGTGATGCTAGTGGAGTATTAGATACTGATGTGTCTGAAGCACCTGATGGTTTTCGTGACAACCTCGATGCTGGTGGTAGAGGTGTTGCTGATCCACTAGAAGGTGTTCGTGTCCTAATGAAAATGATCAATTAATTTTTAATTCTTTTCAATTCAAATCTACTATTCAATACATATACATTCAACTCCCAAACTTTAAAGTTTACATTTTTATTTAATTCAACCTTTTTCTTGTTTCTCGTCAAGCTATAATGTAAACTTTATTTACAAATTTACAGATAGAAGCATTTTACGATAAATCTACAATAGATAAAAGAAAAAGAAATGATCAGATAGACAAGAAGCTAGTTACCTAGCTTTTATAGCTGATGAAGTGTTAGTAGCTGAACTGGTACAAGCTGAACTGCCCCTAACATTTTACAATCAATTCATCAACAGTTAGTTACTCAGAATCAATCATAATTAAGTTAAGGGAAATATATTACAGTGGTTTAAAACGATAAAGGTCCAGAGAAAGAGAATACATTCTGAATAATGACACACAACTAAAAAAATAACAAAGTGTAAACTTTCACATCAACAAAAAAGAAGTGAATAATCCTAAAAAAAATATCATCAAGGATAACACAAAACAATATGAGTAAAGATAGACACGAAATTAAGCGACAGACAGAGCATACCCAGTAGAGTCAGTTGAAATTGTAGAATGGTTGCTTTGCGTGGAATGAGTTGAAAAGTTACTCGTTGTAGATTGAGGAGATTTTATATCTGGTCCCACGTAAACAGGAATCCGCGACCGACTAAACCATCACCATTAAAGTATCATGAGCACGACATTCAGCAATTAATCAAGCAAACAGACATTTTTGTTATATTATTAATTGATATCATTTACAATAGAATAGTAAAAGTACTGAAGTTTATGCTGATAAAAGAACTTATGGATATTTTATAAAATCCTTGATGTCATAAACAAAAACAAATATTTTCATTGGAATATATTTAACATTATGATGATTCCAACACCATTATATATGATCAAGCTTATCCCCACTCATCACCAGATGCTTTATTAATATTTTATTAATTTCGCTTTACCTATTTGGTGTTACAGCACCAGAAAGAGTTGGGATACTTGATGTTCTATAGATTGAACCCAGCCTAAAACAACGTTATGGGTTATGATGTGACTCTAAGTGTCAATTGATTCAACTAATTGGTTTTATTTGAACATATTATTTTTCTTCAATAACTAAATGAATTAATTAATGATATTTTCTTGACATCAATAAATATATGAAAAGCTATCTATATAACTATCGTTCATTCATTATGCTAAATTTGTGAATTATTCTACTTCGAATAAAATTAATTTAGAAAATTACTAGCAGATTTTGATGAATTTTTGATAGAAATTAATTGTTAATATTTTATTGGATATGAAAAATATTTAAAATTTGTAAATGCATGGATCAGCAATGCAGTTAGATTATTATAATGACTATCATTATTTTGTCAAAAAATTTGTTCAATGCGCATTAGTGTTTATATTTGAAATTTTAATGCAGGATATTTATGCAGAGATTAAGATGTTCTACCTTGATGGAACTCCACTTGCAGGACTGACGAGACCTGTTGGCGTACGTGGTCGAGAAGTAGCTGATCCATTTACTGGAGTGGCAATTTTCCTGCCAGACATGCTATTGTGACGACTAGATGATGGTGTATTGCCAGTGGTTCCCATTGTTCTGCGTGGAATGCGACTTGGAGTTCCGGAATCATCTAGAATATTATTTCAACTCATAAACTTATTCATGAAATAATTGTATAAATATAAAATATTAATTTTGCTAATGATTTCGTTAATTACCTGTACTATCTAATGACTGTGTTGATCCATAACGACTAGGTGGTTTGCTTCCCTGTCTGGATGCTGGTCTGCTACTTGGTCTACTTGCAGGTCGTGACGCTGGTCTCGATGCTGGACGGCTAGATGGCCGACTGCCACCTGTTGATTATTTAAATGATTAATTTATTTATTCATAAACATTAGTATTAAAAGAATGAAAATAAAAATGTTTAAATTTATGTACCTGGCGTTACTCCACTCCTATAAGGAGTACTAGTTTTTCGTCCCGAAAGTTTGAATGAACTTTCATTATCACTCAAACTATCTGGTGTTCCAGCACTCAGAGATGATCTAGAAGCACGTTGTTGACCCATAGGTACGCTTCGGACACTGCGCTCTCTTACCTAAGAGAAAATAATTCATTTTAATTTCAATAAATATTTTATTTTTCTGATAATAAGAATAATAAGAATATGAGTATCTAAATAGTTGTCAAACAAATGAAATATTCAAACAAAAAGAGGTAATACTTTTTTTTTTGTTTTTATTGTAGTTTGAATTTATGGTGTTGTGCGAGTGACTTTTTTCATTGCTGAAAATGGGCACATAAAGTGTTTATTTGTACATAAAAAAATTTTTTATCAATGAAAATAATTGAATAATTATTTTACTAGTCTTAAACCTTTATGAGTCTCCATTTTCAAAGTCACACATGGTGAAGTGTCTTGTATATGATAGCATGAGTACGTACCCACTGCTCCTACGAATGGATGAGGTACTAAAGATATTAGATTCAATTATGATGAAATAATAATTAATTACTTTTAAAGATAAATAAATTTTAGTTTGATTTTAACATTATGATTATCAAGATATTGAAAAGAAAAATCTTCAGTAAAATTATCAAGTATGATTATAGATAATTTAGTCATAATTGAATCTAAATGTATTCTACAGATGCATGCAAACTTACCAAGAGGAGTTGGGAAAGATATAGAAGCTTATGGTGATTCGAAGTATCTCCAATCAACGCCACTATGTGAGCATTAATGTAGGAAATAATTATGCACATTCAATAATCTATCATAAAGATGAAGCATATTCTCTTCAAGAAGATGTGTGCAAATGGATTTTACAATCAATATTTCATATATTATATTACATTATTATACTTGAAAATAGTTCTTTCTACTTATTTATCATTTTTCTTTTAAAGACAATTCAAGTTGAAATAATATTTCAGTAACAAAGTTAAAGGGGATGATTTCGAGGCATCCAAATAAACGAAATCATATAAACACAAACCAATGAAAACATGTCAAATAAATAAGAATAAAATTCATAATTATAAATGTTGATATAAAAATCAATGAAGTAAATGCGAGTAAAAGAAGTAATTAAGTTGATGAGGAAAGAGCGAGCTCATACTTAATAAATGATGAAAATATATACAGTACTTGAGGTTGGCTGATACTCACTGTACTACGCATTGCAATAACTACTTGTACTTGACAAACTCCCAATTACAGGCAAAAAATCATCACAACTCAATAGAATCAAAAGAGAATGATATTATTTACCCAGTGGTAAGAGGGGGCGTGCATGTGAAGAGGATACGAGCACGGAAGGTCCTCCTTTTGCCTCAAACTCTCAAATATCGGCATCAGCTGGTTCATAAACTCCTCCGCTATACCACAAATCAAATTAATCATACTACATGTTTAAAATTGCCAATTCTCCAGAATATTCAAGCAATTCTCTAGAATTTTTCTTCTTTTTTTTTAATCCTATGAATTTCTAATGTCCTTCAAATGATTGTTACCTAAATTTCAATAACTCACGTACATTTTTTTATTCGACTTCTTATATCTATTAATTTATGAAAATTTTTAGATAAATTTTTTAACTAATTTCTTTGACTTGTCACGTTATTTTGAACAACCTCTATCATATAAAAAATTCATTCAATTGTTTTATCATTGTTTTTAATGAGTTGTTGGCCTGTAAAGTTGATAAAAGTTTCCTAAATCTAAAAAAATGGATTTATTATTTAAATAGTTCTGATGATGAAGCAATTATTGCAATAGCTCTTAGCAATTTTTAATTTCATCAATTTCATTGTTATTCAATAAAAACGAAATGCAATGTAAATTACGTTGATGACTTGTGAGGGGCGCAAAATTATTGAATAAAAATCACATCTCCTGAGGTTCTTATGATAAATACACTCATCACGCGGTTCCTACTTATTTAAAGACCTCCACAGGTATTTCTTACCAATCTTACTACAAATTCCATTCAAATAATTCTACAAAATGTTGAAAAACATGCGCATGCATATATCTTATTATTTATGGCTCAGATTTCCCTTGATACTTACTGAGGTATCGTTGAAAGCGAATGGTTAACGCTTTTTTGGATCAGAAGATTATTTGGTGCTTATATTTATGTGCGAAAGATATAAAATGCGGGTGAAATAAAATAAAATTAAACTTTCGTAGAATATTAAAGATAGTGAGGTAGAGTTTAAATTGTAACTTAATATTCTACGAAAGTGAAAAATAAAGTGAATGTTTGAAGTGAAAAGATTGATCCTTATTGCATGGTGAGTGAAGTTACCTTGGTGATTGGACCAGCAGATGACATTTGTGTGCGTTGAAGGGTTGAAGTTGGACTTGGTTTGGATCTGAAGGCTGTCATAGTCTGGCTGACACCATCCGCCAAGATAAATTGCTCTCTCAGCTCAATATTTGTTCGTCCCTTGGCTACAGTGTGTTGCGTGCACGCAGTTAGTAGGAATACACAAAAGAATGGTCAAGGATAAGAGAAAAGGTGCAGAATATTTATTAGAAAATTTTTCCAACAGTTAACCAAATTTAAAATAAAACGAAGAATTCAACATCAGAACATGACAAAGACCAAGAAAGAGATAAGAGAAAATTATGCATAAATTTTGTTGATAGTTTTAAGGAGCAGAAAGAGAATCAGCAATTAGTTTTTCACAAGTTTTACAAAGTCAATCATGCATAAGAATAATGATAGAGTTTTTGAGAGAATGAAAATGATTAATTGTAATAATAATAAATAATTGAAAATTAAAAACAAAAACAGTTATAATAGAGTAGAGTAAGTTGGAAAAAAAAATAAAGCGTGTATGTGTGTATTGTGTAAAGGAGCAGAAAAAGAACAAAAACAATATAATTGTAAATAAAATAATAAGTGATAAATAAAATACAATTATAAAATAAAGTAAAATCACACCAATAATCCAATTAATAACTAAAACTAAGTAGTACTAATAGAATATTTTACTATCTTACTAAAAAAACTTGATCTTGATTCAAAAATTCCAATTGATTATTTAAAATTAATATGGTAGATATAAAAAAAATTAATAAATATAAAGAACAGGGGTAGGCAAACTTTGATTTTTGCGAAGCATCAGTAAAAAGGTCGACCTAGTAAAATCTTATATCTCTCTCACTTTTACTTGCAGGTGTAATAGCTCTGAAAATTATACTTGGAGAGCCACGTTTTCCCATCTCTGGTAAAGAACGTGCTCAGGAAGACTTGGGTTGGATAAGATTTACAAGAGGATTTTCCCGGCGATTAAGGACTTTTATAATATTCATTTTTAAAATAAACTCTTTGATCCCACATTAATGAATGATGAATTAAATTAAGACTAAGTTAAATTTACTGTCCCATAATTAAAATTATTTGAATCAATGCATAAATCAGCTGCTGATATATTTTAATAATCAAGATCAAGTTTAAGATTCAGCTCTAACATAGATCACATATCACAACTGTATATGATCACTGCCAAGAAATATAGATATAAAAATTCACGAAACCTTAACACCATGCTGAAGAAAATAAATAATATTTAATGATAGCAGATTAAATTATACCATTTAACCAATCAAAAATAAATGGACTCATCTAAAGGTAGCGTAGCTAAAGCCTTAAATTTTGAATATGTACCTCCAAACTTTTTTACCTCAATGATTATTTATAAAAAGTATAATATATTTTATTACATATAAATATATATTATATTATATTTGTTGAAAATAATGAATAATTTCAAGCGATAGAGTAAATTATGGCTTAAAATTTCTCGAAAAACTAAAGTATAAAAACAGGTTGAATATTTAAATAATGAAGGAAAGAATAAAGGTTAAAAAAAAAAACATAAAAACAACAATGATATTCACATGCGACGTTCATGAATGATGTTAATCATTTATCTATACTCCATTTTTTGAAAGAAAATATTAATTATCAGTTCATAGTTCTATTGATAAATAAAGAAGTAAACTTTTTATTTTTATCTAATTTGTCTACCATTGAATATAAATAAAAACATTTATCTTTCCATATTATTACTTACATTGATTTAAATTATTATTTTGAGATATTAATTATAAAGAAAAAAAATCTTTAAAAAACAATAAATAAGTCCAGAAAAAGATAGATAATATGAACTGATTGAATAAATTGTTTCTAAATATAAACAACAAAATTATTTACATTTAAAAAAAATAGAGTATAAATAAAGGATTAAAAATGATCGTGCAATGGACCTCACCGAGTGGACACCAGCCCTCGTGCTGTTCCGGCTTGTTAGGATCCGGTATTGGCATTAGAAAGACTTGAGGAATCAATGATGGAAAATATTTAGTCTTTTTTTTAGTTTAGCTAGGAGAATCATGCAATTTAATTCAGTTATTTGTTAATAATTCAATAATTCTCGTGTATTTAACAAAGAGTAAAGTTATTAAAACAGCATCTAATTGTTATTAAACAATGATCAATGACTGATTAATAAACAAATGCCCTAATCTTACTATTATACCTTTACAAAGAATTATACCACTCCCCTTAAAAATACAAATTCAAATAAAAAATAAAAATAAAAAAACATCTCTAATAAATTACTACGGATTAAGCAAAGCAAAACACCGGGCACACATCTCTTTACATTCGTAAACTAACAATATTTTAGTCCAAATAACAATTCACTCGTTATTGAATTAATTACACTTTTTGTTGTTACCTCAGGAGTTGAGATCATACACACAAACGCTTTGGAGTTATTATTATCATTATTATGATTAATATTAACAAATTGTTATTAACGTAGAGCCCCGTATATGTACGTTTTCATTAGATCATTAATTAGTCAATTATTATTATGCTAATGCGTAATTCAATTATTAAAGTTAATGCGATAATTTCCGAAATGCTATTGCTATTCTTCTGTTAACCAGGCATGAAATGGATACTGATATTTATGAGAATGATTTAAATGAATAGAAATGAATTAAAATATAAATAAATTTTAAGTTAATAAATGACTTCAAGATAAAACTAAATTTAACTAAATAATTGAAAATAAATTATTTTAATTTAATCTGCCTCCTAGGGGGATTCCTATTAATCTTCAATTTTCTAATTATATTTATTTCAGTTTTTTATTCCTATATTATTAATTAATACTTATTTCTTATAATTTTTATGTTCATTATTATTATTATATGATTTATTCATTAGAATAAAAGGGATGGTTTTAAGTAAAATGGACAGAAACTTACCGCGACATGGATCATTCTTCAAAAGGAACTCGTCCAAGGCTACCCATCCACCACCAACTCGTACCATGACAGTGGATCTTAAGATACGCACTAAGCGCAATTTTTGACTGTCTCCAAACTGAATAAATATAAATGATAAATTAATTTAGTTTAATTAAAATGATTGGAATATTAAAAAATTGATATAGAGAATGAAAAAATTAAAATGAAAAATTTGAAAATCTTACCCTATATTTTCCTTCACCAACTTGGAAGACTCGGAATTTCTGTCTACATGTACAAAGCATAACAAGACGTTTGACTTCATCATGAATTTTATCAGTATCATTATAAGTTTTTCTTTCTTCCCAATCTGGTCGAAGAGCTGCGATAAATTCTTTCCAATCAATCAAACCTTCACCATGGCGATCAAACAAATCTGCTACAGCATTCATCTCCAAACGTGAGGTATCGAACTCTGAAAATTGGCATAATTTATTCAGCAAATGTTTCTGTTTATAGATTTTTAAATTAATTTAATTCTTCATTTTAAATACTTACTTGTATTCATAATCCCTTGGATAAAATCTTCTCTTGGAATAAGACCATCGTTGTTTTTATCCATCTTTCTAAAGAGATCCGTCAATCTTGATTTCTTATGGTTCATAAACTTAAGGAATCTTTTGCGCCAATCTTCCCAGCTGAAGTTCCTGACACGATCCAGTTCATCGATATAATTAAGTTTATCTTGAAGACGTCTTTGACGTTCCCAAGCCATCATCCACACATTACGCCAACGATCCCAAAGAAGTTTAACACGTGGATTGCGGAATTCAGGTTCAGCTCCCTTGCTACTCAAATAATATTTTATTGTATTATCACTTCATTAGTTGAAACATTGACAAATTAATATTAAAGTGTAATAAAAAAAAAATGTGATATATAATTTAACATATCATAATTTCATGTCACATTCTTCAAAAAATTATCTGATAAAAATAGCCCATACAATCTACTCAAGTTTCATTTAATAATCATTCGATTTTCCACACAGTTTTTGACATAACTTATTGACACTCTGATAGATATATTTTATGAGATAAACAATAAAAATAAAAGGATGACGAACCTTCCTTTAGGTGGAAAGCGAGGACCAATGTGTGGCAGTGAAGGATCTGGCGTTCGATCACGGCCTGGACTGGCTCGGCTAAACAAGAACATGCGTCAAATCACTCATAACACTCTACTCAACTCTATTTATTATGCCATCTTGAGATATGATGCTATTTTATTTCTTTTTAGATTTAAACAATCAATACAAAAATTTTATTAATTAGACTTAAACACAATTATTGTTCACAAAATCCATTTAATTGAGGGAAGAATATTATTAATGGTTAAAAATTTGTGTATTGATTTCATCAAAATGTTTCTTATTTAATGTATTTGTATATTAATGTACTGTGTGATTACTTATTAATACTTATATTTAATTATTTTAATGAATAATTTTTGTTAACTAATATTCTTATGTTCTATAAAATTAAAATATGTATTCCTCAACATACTGTGAATATATAACATATAATTATAAATTAATATATTTATATTTAGACAATTAAAATAAATAAGTGATTTTATATTATGTGACTAGAACAAATATGAAGCATAAAAAAACAAACATATTGTGCATGATATTATGTAGATTAATCAATTCAACTAATTAATTCGTTCTATTATACATTTTTGTGCGTGTATAATTCTTTATACAGTGTTCTAGTGTTATCAATAGTAATTGTAAGTGTGCACTTGTGTTATAAGAACAAATATATTTCACAGAAAGCGTACCTTCCACGACGTGATTGCAACAGATCGCGACTGCCTTTGAAACTAGACAATAGTAAATCAATGATATTGTTAAAACAAAAAAAAACTTGATAACACAGGTATTGGATATGTAATAATATAATTTAGAATAAGAATAAGAATAAAATAATTTTAGTAGAGAATTGAAAAAAAAAATAAACAAATTCAAAAATCGTTGTCTCGAATTATGTAAATTTTAATAAATAATTATGTTGTTCAGTAGATAAATTATGATGACAATTAATAATAAAATGGTATTTGTCGTAATAATGGTAATTTAATACATAAACAAATAATGCCAAGCAACACAAACCTTTGTTTACGAAGTGGCTGCTCGTCATGATCACTTTCTTGATAAAGATCCTTACTGTTGGTTTAACATTGCACCATGCAAACAATAGACACATGAGTGATGAAATGTGACACATAAATACAAAGGATTATTCAAGCATAGAATATATTAGATATTGCAAAAGTTGATAATTTTTCATAATTATTTGCATATTTTTAAATTTATTGATTTTAATATCATTAATCATTGATTTTTAATAATTAAAATAAATATTTTTTTTGTGATTAAAAAATTAATAAAATTATTGAAGCTTAATAGAAAAAAAAACAAGCATTTAAAAATTAAATACAAAATAAATTTCATAGTTAAATTTGGATTATTGTAAATTAACAAAACTTTCGCAAAGATCTAATATTATTGTGTACAACAACCAAAAAAAGTCAAATTAAATTGTGAAATAATAATCTAGTGCAATTTTAAAATTATAAAACAAAAAATTTAAACAAGACAATGTGATAAGTGTTGTTTGAAAATAAAGTGATAAATGTCAACCTCATGCCTACTTACACAGAGCCTGGTAATCTGCTTTTGGACATCTTCCGAGCATCCTTGATAGGTTTTATTTGCCTGGCTTTACATACGCTGTCAACTTCAACTTGTCTTCGGCTAGTGTTTTCCATAAATTCGCGATGGTCTGCGATAAGCATTTCTAACGTTGGGCGATCATCTGGAAGTGGTTCAGCTTCTAGTGTTATTAATGTATTTGTAAGACCCTCCAACCAAGCGAGTAATTCTTCGAGAAGGTTATCAAGATCCTGTAAAGATATGATTTAATTTAAAAATGTCCAACAGAATTAATAACAAAATTCTAAAAATAGAAATAATAAATATTTTAAATAAATTCCCACCTGTAATCCTTGCATATGATTTTCAAGACGTTGATTTCTTTGCTGAGCCCAAGTAGCAACTTCTTCCCATCTGGATTGAATGATAGTAATCCAGTGCTTGATAACAGTAGCACCATCCGGATGAGCTTTGCCAAGAATCATATGAGCAAGCTCCAAGGTATTATCTTTTTCAATTTCTTTCTGATGTAATTCTCTAAGGAATTTCTCATGTTCCATCAGCTGATTTCTGCTTTCTTGTTCATCTTCCGGTAGTTGTCCAGCGAATCTGAGTTTCATTTCAGCATCACTTAACCATTCCAGAAGTACATGAACGGCTTTGTGAAGTTTCTCAGCATCTCTGAGAGCTTCATCAAGACGTTTGGATTTATTATCTGACAAGCGATTAACAGTATTCCAAAGAGTATTTACTTCAGATAGTTGAGATCGGATGGTATGAGCATCTTCAACAGTAGCCTTTGACTCTAATTCTCTTCCAGTTCTAATAACCGATTCCATTTGAGTTGCTCGTGATTCTAAATCTCTTTCGAATGATCGATGTTGTTCTACAAGATTCGTAACAGTGTCTAAATCACCATGAAGAGGTCCAGTATTGGATAATTGTTTTTCTGTTTTCTGGAGCCAATCAAGAAGAGCTTGAATAGCTTCTTTGAATTGTCCAGAGAAGAGCAGAGCTTCTTCCAATTTCCTTTGTCTGTCGACACTCTTACTGCAAACTGTAGTCCATTTGCCTTTGAGTTCATTGAGAAGTTCTTTCAGAGCAGGTTCATCAGTCTTAGGTGCTTTGTCTTTAAGATTCTTTCCATTTTTCATCGTGGTATCGTAAGTGCCTTGTTTAGCACTTAAAGCTTTTTGAATTTCTCTATGTTTGGTCAAACGTGTTTTAATCTTTTCTGGATCATTACCACCTACTCCTTCAGATGCCATCTCATCAAGAGTCTTCTCAGTTTCATCTAACCAGTTCATCAAATGAGACCAGGCATCGTGGAATTCTCTAGCCTCTTTGTATCCATGATCCAATGCTCTTGTTCTTTCAGCAGATTTCGAAACAACACGTTCCCATCTGTGTTGAACACTGACTAATAGATTTTTGATCAAAATAACATCTTGTTTTTGTGAGAAATATTTTAATTGAGTTCCTTTTTTGTCTAAATTAAGCATTGTCTCTCGATGAACTCCTACATCCTTCTGGAAAGCTTTATGATCTTCTATTTGAGTAAGAATTGTCTCCATTACTCGAGAAACAGGTTTCAAGTTAGTTAATATTTTTTCTGCATTCGTTAGCCAGTCAACAAAGGCTTGCAAGGCATCATGGAACTCTGTAGCTTCTCTTAGAGCGATTTCAAGTTTAATCTTTTTGTCACTAGCTCTGGCAATGACACTGTCCCATCGTTGTTTCAAATTTCTTAAATTGTGATTCAAAGTTCCAGCACTAGAAGCTCCAGCTCTCTTCAAATATTCTTGTCCTTGTTGTAGAACAGTTTCTACTTTAGGTCGATTCATTTCAAGTTCGTTGTAAACTTCCATAAACCGTTCTAGCTGTTCTGAAGCTGTTTCTGGCAAGCCTCCAACTGGTCTAGATGCCACAATCATATTATCAACATCTCCAAGCCACGATAATAGATCTTGAATTTCTGCAGTAAATGATTGGGCTTCCCTAAGTGCATCTTCAAGCTCTCTCTGCCGATCAGCAGCACGTTGAAGAAGATCTCGCCAACGACGATTGAGAGTTCCAAGTTTCTCTGCTGTTGTTGAAGCTTCTGTTGTTCCTTTTCCGTCTTCTATCAATTGTCTTCCAGCGTCATTTAGCGTATCTACACTAGTTTGATGTGCTTGGATGTCATTTATTAAGACCTTTAACTTGGCCAACTCTACTTCTATCACTTGAGGATCTCCAGCAACAGGTTTCAAGTCGTCCAAAGTTCGGTCAGTTTTATCAATCCAAACTAAAAGTTCATCAAGGGCATGTTGGAATTGACCCAAACGGAGAAGAGCATTCTCTAGAAGACGTTGCCGTTCAACTACTCCTCTTAATAAGGCATCCCATCTACGGTTCACAGCACCGAGAGGCTCCTTGATCGCCGCAGCTTGCTCCGATGATGTTCTTTCTGTTAATTCTGCAGCTTGCCTAAAGAAAAAATTATTCAAATGTTATTATTGTCACTCATATTTTTATAACAAAAAAAAATCTTCAACACAACGATTAATCAAAATCACCACGGCTGCACAGCTTTGCTACATACGTATTTTAATTTTTTATCAGCATAAAGACTAAAAAGAAATAGCGGGTATCCTGTTTCTTTGGATATAGCAGAAAGTATTAAAAAAATTCTGGATGATGAAGCTCAAGGATTTTTATATTGTATTTTTGTATTCATAAATTGTATTAGCACCGTATTTTCATGCGTCATATAAAGAATAATTATAAATTATAATTAAATGGTTTGCTGTAAAATACTGATAGTAATTTATTGTTCAGCAGGTTAACAGCACAAATTTCTCTGTAAATTACAAAGGATTCTGTTTATGTACATTTATTTTTAAGTCAATAAGCCATGCGCTAATCAAAGTGACAACCAAAGAAGTTGACTTGCCTTGTCAGACTCCTATGTTCCGGGACGGAAACAGGAATGTTTGCAATTAAAAAATATTTTAACATCATTATCAATTGAATGAAAGTTACATTTTATAATGAAATTAAGAATTATATAACTTTTAATTCTTTTAATTTTGCGGAAAAGATTTATAGATTTTTAAATATAAATATTATTGTTTCTTATATATTAACTGATCAAGTAATCAATTGAAATAATTAATTGAAATTCTAATTGTTTTTGTTTTAAAAGATGATTGACTATTAAATATACAAATACTCACCGATTTAGAGCTTCGACTTTCACCATATGTGGATCCACTTCAGCTTTGAAATCAGAAAGTTGTTTAATTTGTCTCTTAACAGAGTCAATGTCACTTCCCAATGGACCCATCTCAGCAAATTTATCTTCAGCTTCTTGGAGGAATTCTAACAAGTTTTGTAAAGTCTCATGGAACTCCATAGCTTTCTCCATAGCGTCAATTAAATTCTCTTCACGTCTTGCGTACAAAGCGGTGACATTGTCCCAAGCCTGATCTAAATCTTCCATGTGCTTACGCACTTCTGGTTTGTCTGGTTCTCCACAGAGACCCATGAGTTCATGTCCAGAAGCTCGAACTTGTTCAACATCAGGTTTAGTTTGATCAATCTCATGTCTGATTTCTTGGAGGGCCACTTGTTGCTGTTGAATAGCAGCAGGTTGAGCTGCAGGTGGAGCTTGGCCAGAAAGAGCATCTTGAAGCTCTCGAAGAGTTGACATAACTCCATTGAGCTCAGACCAGAATTTTTCAGCCACTGCTAAGGTCTCATCTAGAGTCCTACCACGATCGTTTGTTGCTTTTTGAACTTCTCCCCAGAGTTTATTCAGTTTTTCTAATTTTCGTTTAATGTCTTTGACTGCAGGATCTTGTTTATTGCCAGCCTTATTGATAACATCATCAGCAGCTTTCTTTACTGCAGCGTAGGCCTCACTTCTTTGAGCAATATCATCAGCCAAAGCTGCATTATCTTCCATTTGGTCACGTAGACGAGGAGGATGAGCACTAATAGGTTCGGCACTGTGTACTTGGTCAGCTGTTGAAGTTAAAGCACGCAGCATTCCTTCTAATTTGTCAGAGAACTGCGAGGATTCTTGAAGGGCTTGTTCAAGAGTTTGTTGACGAGCTCGTAATTCAGCTCGTAATGCAGCATAACGTGCATTATCCTGATCCAAAATATCTTGAACTTTGATACCTTCTTCTTCATTGCAGAGTCTAATCAAAGCCTCTCCAGTTTTGTTTAATTTTTCGATCAAGGGTTTGTGTTCGTTGATACTTTGCATCAATAATTCATTTTTATCTTGTTGAGCGGCTATTAGATCTGGTCTCAATGCTGGCATCGGAAGCATTGATACGTGATGTTCTGCTTCTTCTAACCAACTAACTAAACCTGCGTGAGTGTCACGAAGATGTTCGGCAAGTGGTAGAGCTTGTTCTAAAGCACCTAATCTATCAGTCGACAATCCAGAAACGATCTCCATGATTTCTCTAAGATCTTCCATCTTATCTCTGATAGTTGCAGTGTCTTCATGATGAGTATTTTCACGAATAACTTTTTTAGCTGTTGAAATAACATCTCGTACACGGCCTTTTTGACTGGAGATGTCATCATTAAGTGCTTTATGTTCTTTCAATTGAACTCTGATGATTTCTGGTTCACTGCTGGGTGGGTCTGCTTCTCTGAGTTGATTATCAACCTCTCTAAACCAATCGAGTAACTCATCAATGTCTCCAATTACTTCAAGTGATCGTTGTTTGCTGAGTTGAATTCTCTCTGCCTTACGTTGAATTTGCTCAGCAATTGCATCAAATCGTCTGTTATCTCTTGTCACCAAACCTTCAATGGTAGCTGCACCTTCTCCGGGAGAAATTTGGCAAAGTTGTGGTCCAACTGTATTGATCTTTTCTAAAATAGGTCGGTATTCTGATATCTCCATTTCTAATCGAATGATTTCTTCTTCACGAGGCTCTGCTGATTGTAAAGCGGCTTCCGCTCCCTGCATCCAATCCATTAGACGATTGTGATTGTCATGGAATTGTTGCACTAATGGTAGTGCTTCTTGAGCATGTTTTAAAAGATCAGATCCACGTGAGACCAAATCATTAAAACGACGTTGAAGGGAGTCTAGTTTATCTTTAAGCTGTAAGGCTTCGTCACTAGAGATATGTTTCATCAATTCTAAACCGGAATCAGTTGTGCTATCAACTTCAGTTTGTCTAGATGATACTTCTTCAGTTAAATCAGCGAGATCTTCCATTTGTTGAAGTAATTTTTCCGTATGAACTGCCAAGACTCGGTATCGTGATAGTCTTTTCTCCATGCTTTCCATCCATGCTTGAAGATCTTGGTAAGAGAGGACCAAATGACGAAGTCCTTGTCTTGATCTTTGTAAAAGATTTCCTAAAGCTTCAGATCTTTCTACTAAATTAGCATATCTATCTGCAGCATCTTGAAGTTTGTCTGCTAAAGCAGCTGCTTCATCTTCTCCGACAAGGCTCATAAGCTGACTTGCAACTTCGGTCAATTCACTGAAGTAAGGTTTCTTAGACAGGATATCGTCATGAAGAACGTCATGTTCTGATACTCTTTGTTGAATTTTTTCTTCATCTGTTGGCACAAGTTCCATATCCTTAACTTTTTTCTCAGTTTTATCTAACCAGATAGCCAAAGGAGTTAATTTCTCTTGGAATTCTTTAGCTACAGCCATTGCTTGTTCTAAAGCATCCATTCTCTCTGCAGCTCCTTCTGTTAGAGCATCGAATCTACCCATCAGATCTTTCATTCTCTTTTCAATAGCCTTACGTTCTTTAGGATCAACAGCTGCAGCAACTTCTTGACCCATATTGAAGAGAGATGACATGGAATTTTGACGATCCATTAACATCTTCTTCAAGAATTTTTGCTCTTGAAGTTGAGCCTTAACTACTTTGTAATCAGATGATGGTGGTTTTTGATTAGCTACCATCTCTTCAGTGTCTGCAAGCCATTTTTCTAATCCATCTAAAGCCTCTTGGAATTTACCAGATTGGAGTAAACCAACATCTAATTTACGATCACGCTCGTTAAGCCTGTCTTTAAGATCATTCCATTTTTCATTCATTTTATCGAGATCTTTTTCAATTCCACTGGTGTTGACATCACGACCAGCACTTTGAATCAATCCTTGACCGACAATATTACATTCATCAACTGCACGAGCGATAGGCTCAATCTTCTGAACTTTCAAAGCACGGAAATCTTCTTGTTGAGCTTTAATAGAATCAACTTCTGATCCGATAGGTTTGAATCTTCGCACTTGTTCACTGGCGTCATTTATATCGTCCATAACATCGCCATGCATATGATAGAACTCTTGTAATTTATCCAACACAGCTGTTAGTTCTTCAGCTCTATTACGAGCACGTTCGTCAAGTTTCGTTACTTGACGTTTCAAAGTCTCGATTTGATCACGAGTGGCAACAGAATCAACAGCGAATCCACTATCAACTAGATTTTCTCCAGCGTTCACTAGATTAAATACTTCTTCTGATGCTTTGGTGATCTTGCTTAGTAATTTTGTTACTTCTTCAATTTGGATACGTACTGTTCTGATGTCACGGCCGGGTGCTTTCATAGACTCAAGTTCATTTTCCAAATTTGACAAGTCATACGTCAATGCTTTCACGTGATCATTGAACTGTGCAACAGCTGTTGCTGCGCTCTGAAGATCATTACAACGATCATCAAGTTTGCCTAATAAATCGTTGATGCGATCAGCAATGTTGTCAACTTCATCCAAAAGATGAGTAGCATCTACACCTTGTTCTCTGGCGTTGTTGACTAAATCATTGGCTTGTTGTCTTACAGATTGCAATGGTTTCTTCAAAGCTGAAGTTTCTTCTCGTAGATTCTGAAAGAAAATTTTTAATAAAATTAATTAATGTACTAATTAGATAATAATATGACAATAAATAGATTGTAGAAAACTAAATAGTACCTTGATTCTGTCGAGAAGCTTCGAATCCTTAGAAGCTCCTCCCAAAGCATCATGTGAAGCAAGTTTATCTTCACACCTCTGCAAACCATGTTGTAAATCTCGAAGACTTTCATTGAAATCAGTAAGATGACGAGCTGTATCTTCCAAAGATTGAGTTCTAGTTAACAAATCATTATTTAATTTATCCCATCTGGTCTTCATTGCGCTTAATTCATTCTTAACCACATCTTTATCAATATCACAAGCACTGAGGAATGTTTCTCCAAGAGTTTTGTTATTTTCAAATTCTCCCGAACGCTTCCAAACTTCATTTCTGAATGAAGACAATTCTTTGAGTTGTTTTTCAATGTCTTTACGTTTGAATGACGTCGGTTTTAAGCTTTCAAGCTTGTCTTCAGCTTGACGGAGCCAAGGAAGGAATGAATCTTGAGCTCTATAGTATTTTTTACAGTGTTCTGCACATGTTTGTAATTTTGTATGTCTATCAAGAGTATCTTTCTTCAATCTATCCCATTGAGCCTGCATTTTATCTAAATCACGTTGAAGTGTTCGGTTTTCTGACTTCTGTGATCTTGCAAGTATGTCTCGGCCTTTATTCAATAGCATAATGACTTCATGCTCTTTACCCATCACGTTACGGTAGATTGGTTCGTGATGGTCAAGTTGTTGCTGTAATATTTCTCTGTCAGCTGAAACTAATAATTTCTCAGACATATTTCCAAGTTCATCAGCAAGCCAGCCAAGAGTTTTACTGCATGAAGCTTCAAACTGTCGGCCATCTCTTAAGTTTCCTTCGATCTCTGCTTTTCTATGGTCTAATTTCTTTTGTAAATTGGTGTAAAGTTTCCCAACGGCTGCAAGTTTTCCTTGAATTTCTGATTTTGAAGCTGGATCACTTAATACTTCGCATAACTGTTCTCCGGCTGCTTCTGCATCAGCTAAAAGAGGTCGTTGGCCTTCTAATTGACGCTCAAGATTTTCAATTTTACGGAGTTGTTCTTCTGGATCTTTATCAAGTGGAAGATCATCTAAGTTATCGGAAATAGCTTGAAGAGCATCACGAAGACGATTAAGACTAGCATCAAATTCTCGGCTGGTATCAACAGCATCACCCAAGCTTTGAGCACGCTCGTCGAGTCTATTTACTTGGTCAGACCATCTTCTAAGAATGCTATTCAATTTATCACTAATTCTTTGACCATCAACGGAATCTTTAGTCAATCGGCTCAGAATATTTTCTCCAACTTCAACTAGATGATCGAGCTGAGGTTTTTGAGTTCTAAATTCTTCTCTAAGTACTTGTACTTGTTGAACTTGACTTGCAACCATCCTAGGATCAGATGAAATTGGACCTAGAGCTCCCAACATTCTTTCTTTAGCTCCAAGCCAGGAGTTAAGACTTTCGTAAGTGTCATGGAATTCTTTGATGTCTTCTAAGAATTTAATTCTGTCTTTGCAACGATCAGAAATAGACTTCCAACGGCTTGCAACATCTTCTAGTTCGTCGTTAAGTCGGTCAGAACCGTCAGCATCTTTTTTGCGACGGACTATGTCACGGACTTGGGTCTTTGTGCTGTCAAGAAGAGATTGTTTTTCATACATTTCCTCTATAACAACTTTAATAAGCTTGGCAGTCTTGTCTGCTTCTTCTTTGGACGATGGAATGGATTCTTTTGGTAATTGACGTTCAATCTGTAAAATAAGGTTGCAATTATTTTTCTAAATAAGAGTTTATTAATTTATACTGCTAAAAAACTAACTTCATTTCGTCATACCTTGTCTAAGAACTGAAGTAATGTCTTCAAATTGTCCAAGAGTTTTCGTACTTCTTCTTTCACACTGTCCAGCTCAGTTTGACGATCGGCTAATCTGACACCAAGAAGACCATACCGATTATTGATCTCTGATAATTGTTGCTGAACTGGGGAAAGCTCCTCAAGGTGGAAACCATCCTGACTTGATCGTCGGCTGCTGAATCCACTGCTACCACCTGGAGAGACCGGACTTTGTACTGCGTACAACTTAGAGGGGGAAGGTGAGCGACCGTCTTGTGACATTCGGCGGACTACAAAAAAAAAATTTAATAAAAAAAATCAAAAACTGAAAATGCTGTGAAAGTGGAGCTAGATGCGAGTTATGGCGAAGAGAAATGAGAGGATAGTGTGGATAAAAAATAATGTGTTATAAAAAAAAAATATTAATCCTATTAGCATAATTGTATCTTAGCAACAAGTGATGATTTGAAACGATTATTATTAAACTTTCTGGCTGAGAATTTATTCACTTCAAACTCTCAATTTTCCACTCAGACAGAAAGTTGAAAAAGCATAAGTGTAAAAAAAAATTAAACTCACGTGGACTTGTAATGGTATTCCGTTTAGTAGGACTTGTGCTACCGCGACGTCTAGGTGGGCTCTCACCACGTTCTTTCAGAAGGCTGTCATATACAATACCAAGATCATTAACTTTATCCACGGTATTACCATAATCCCGGTACTCTTTTTGGATAGGTTTTAACTCTTCAGCTTGAATTTTCAACTTTTCAAGATCTACAGCAACAGGTTGAAGTCTTGTCACCTTAACTTCTGTGCGATTTAACCAATCAAGAACTTGATCGCGTAATTTTTCATAAGCTGAAAGCTGTTCAGCTCGTGATTTGCTAAGTCGTTGTTTCTCGTCCAAAAGATTACCAAGCTCTTTCCATTGCGATTCAACAGCTTTGATTTTATCTCTAATTGGAGCTGAATCAGTGATATCTTTTTTGGCAACTAAGTTCTTTCCATTATGAATCAAACTTTCAACAGTTTGTCGTTGATTTTCACGCTTATCTGCCAATTGAATCATCTTACTTTCATACTCAGATACATCTAATTTATTCAACTCTCTTGATTCAAGGGTTTCAATCATATTCGAGTACCAGCTGTCGAATTTAGTAGTTTCTGTAATGAATTCATGAAGGGCTTGTGCTACTTCGTCAAGGAATTCTCCTCGACGCAATGATTTATCCATCAGTTTTTCATATCGATTTTGGACATCTTTAAGTTTACTTTCAATGCGTTTTGCAACTCTTGCATTGCTGGAATTAATCAAAAGATCTTGAGCGCTGTTAGTTATGGCTTCAACACTAGCACGATGACTGTCAAGATCGGATTGTAACATCCTTTGTTCCCGTTGTTGTTCTTCCAAGCGTTCTTTATGAAGACTGGCTGGACGTTGGATATTTTTGAATTGACTTTCAACATTATTAAGCCAAGAAACAAGACTATCTAGAGCATCTTGGACTCCTTGACTTTGTACTAAAGCAGTATCAAGTTCTTGGCACTTCTCAGCTAGGGCATTGGATAGCTGGCGATACTTATCTTCTACTGCTCGGACGGGTTCTTCTAGTTGATTTGCTTCACTTGGAGTAAGTTGTCCCTCCAAGGATCTTAATAAAGCATCAAGACTTGATTTAGCGTTGTCTATAAGTCGTGCATTGGCTAGGAATTCATTGTTCAATGCTTTAGCTTTGCTTAATTGATCTTCAACCTGTTTAGGTTCCGCTGCGGTGGGTTCAGAAATAACTCGATGGACTTTAGGTTCTACTTCCTTCAACCACAACTTTGCCTTTTCCAAAGAATCCTGATAGTCACGCTGTCTGCCTCCAACTCCAGACAATCTGTCTGACAAATTATTCGCTCGAGCAAGCAAGTCCTTGTATTGGGCTGTTACAATTGTAACTTCATTTCGCACAGGTGAATCTTGACTTGCTGTAGGTTCTTTATGTGGTAGCCGTTGCGGTAGACTGGTTCTAAAGTCATTGAGAACTTGAAGATATTCTCGGCTCTCATCCACAAACTTCTGTGCTGCCATTGTAATAAATCGTAAGTCAGCTTGGTGGGCAATAACATCACTGATGAAATCTCTAGTAGGATCTGTGCTTGCTGTCAGTTTATTTAAATCAGATAGAGATCGCTCTTTGTCTTCTAGAATACGTCGGGCTTTGTCTAACCAGGCGGAGAATGAAAAGATTTCATTCTTGAATTTGGAAAGTTCATCTCGAGCACCATTCAATCGTTTCAAGAGTCTCTCAGTGCGATCGGCTGTTCGGTCGTAACGAGTCTTTAATGATCTGCCGTTTTTCTCGAGGGTTGATACTTCGTCACTTGATAAAACGTCACTTCCTGTAATTACTACCTGACGGACCTGATCCAGGCAGGAGTGTACCTGTCGACTGTGTGATTCAATATCTTCTTTCACTTGCTGAAATTGAAAAAATAAATTTGTCAATTATTTATTGCAACATGTTTCCATTGATATTTTTTTATTAGAAAAATCGAATAGCATACCCTCATAATGTTTATTTGATTCCTAAGTTCTTCAAGATCTTCTTTGACAACATCCTGATTGGCAAGTTTGTCTTCAACATCAGACACCCATTGCAGGAGTTTAGTCAATGTCTCATCACACAGCTTATACTTCTCTTGAACCGCTTGCTATAATTAGTGACATAAATATTTTGTTAATTCTTAAATCGAGTGTTAATAGAAAAAAAACAAGTTAGATTAACATAATGAAGTTAATTAATCACCCGCCATCTCACCAAGGGCGGTAGAGTGAATTAAAATTAAAAATTGAAATAAATCATGAGCCTATGGCATAACTCATACATGCAAGCACAAACACGCAAAAATTGAACACACATAGAGGTACAGAATTTTTATTTGATATAGCTTTAATTTATCTGCAAGAACTGCATACATACGTATTGGATTTTGTATGCAGATAATAAGCAATTAAACAATTGTCAAGCCATGTATCTTTGGCAAGATAATATTCAAGCAAATAAATTAAAACGTACAATAATGATAGTGTATTGAGACTAATGGTATAGTAAATAATAGTATAAATGTAAAAAAAGATTGTATTGTATTGTATGGTTTTGTATTGAATCGTATGTATATTTAATCCGAAAGAGATGCTATAAAAAGAACTTTGTTGTGAAACAGAAGAAAACACCTGGAAAAAAGTAAAACACTTACATATAAATGATTAAAAAATTGAAAAAAAAAAAATTTTTTTTTGTATCATAAGAATAATTTAAAATTAGCAACATTCTGGTTAATAACAAAGTTAAAAACAATGATTAATAATTAAATATTAACATTGTTAAGGACTGTAAATAAAGTTTAAAAAACAATAAAAATTAAAACCATTAAATTAGAATAAATTATTAGAAAATTGTAGTATTAATTTCTATTTCGCCAATCAATTTTTGTCGATTTAATTTAGAAAATGATTCGTGCATGAATTTTTAATAATGAAACCAATTCGTTCCGAAACTAACTAGGCCTTTTATTTGAAAAAAAAAACTAAAAAAAAAACCAATTATTTTATTAAAGAAAAATTAAATGAATGTCTTCAAACTTATTCAATCCTCAACAAGTTACTTAACATGAAAAATATACTAGTCTATAATAAAACCTTAAATAAAGGTAAAATATAATTAATATTAAATAGAATAGAGGTAAAAAGTAGATATTTAATGAATTAAATAATAAAAATAACGTTGATCTTAATCATGAAAGGCCGAATTAGTGTTGCTGATGCGATAAAACGATTGGGAATTAATGAGTTCGAGACGAAGCAATGTTTGGTTGAATTGTTATCAGTTATATAACATATATAAAAAGGTTTGAACGGCTGTCATTATTGCCGAAAAACCCCAAACATAGCCAGCACATATCAATGGTTAGTGTCAAGTGATTCTGAGTCTGATTCTGTACTGATATCCACGTTAAAATATTACGTAAACAAGCTTGAATATGATGTGTTGTATACAACAGGTAAACTAGATAACATAACCTAAAATGAATATTAAAAGCAGGCATATCCATTTTTCATAGCGCATATCATGGTATTTTAAGGTGTGAATATGATTTTTATAACCATAAATGAACTGATATTTTTAATGATTGAATTAACATAAAAAGAGAATATTGTTGAAATTTTAACGAACAATAAATAATAATATAATTAACATAAACATCATAACTAATATAAAAAATATTTACTTGAGTTGCAATGAGCAGGCCTGTTTAATAAAAAAAAAATGTCAATGATTTTAAAAGATGCGTCCATGCAGGGCCACCCTGCTCCGAAAATGTAAATCCAATGTATATTAAAAAACGAACCCCTTGTTTGTCTTTTATTTAAGGGTACATTAAAAAAATAATTTTTATAAGCAATAATGCAATAGACCGTAACCTGCCGGCAAGCTTTAAGACATGAGCATACAGATATCCCATCACTTACCCTCGCTTCTGCGGCGAGAATGTATCCCTTCTCCAAGGCCTTCACGAAGTCAAGATCTTTCCCTTCTGGATCATTGAGAAACTTGCCTGCTACAGGATCAATCTTTCCTTCGTTTATGGCCTCTAGTAGACTTGATATCTCACCAGATTTGGGGTCTTTTATCACAGTCGTGGAGGGATCTATCAAGCCTGATTCTAACGCATTACTTAACGTCAAACGTTCACGGTCTAACACGGATGTTATTACAAATGGATCATTAAACCCGCCAGTAGTAGGATTGTAAATATTAAATTGCAACGTTTCGATGAATGATAATCCACGTTTTTGTGTTGTTAATAATCCAGACTCATATGCTTTAGATAACGTGTATAATTTGGATGTCTCTGTATCTAATACACTGCCCTTTTCTCCATCCATAATTCCTTTTCTGAATGCTTCTGGCAATGTCACTAATTTTTTCTTTTGCAAATCTTTTATCAAGACTGAATCTGGGTCAATAATTCCATAACTAACAGCTTCTTTTAGAGACATTTCTTCATTACTTACTGGGTCAGTTAATTTAGCAGTATCAAGATTTAATAGCTCTTTATCAACTGCTTTTTCAAATGAAATTGGTTCTAAGAGAAATACATTTATATCTTCAAATTTAACAATTCTTGGAAGCATTTTTTTATTCTGTGGCTCAACTATACCTCTTTTAGACGAATCAATGACATTGTTTTCCAATGATTCACTTAAAGGAATAAATTTACCATTTTTAGGATTTTTAATTACACACTTGGAAGCATCTAGAAGCTCATATCGAACAGCTTCTTCTAAACTACACTCTCTGATACCTTGTTCTTTTACTGGTGATTTTTGTAACCCGGAGGAAGTCTTTTTCTCTAATTGTTGGGTTAAAGATTTATCACAATTTACTAACAGTCCACGTTCTAGAGCAATATCTATATTATAAGCGCGTTTAGTTTTTGGATCAAGTACTTGGCCTTTTTCTACATCAATAGTACCATCAGAAATTCCCTGTAATAGTGATTTTATCTGACCAGTTGTTACGTCTTTTAACGCAGTTGTTTCTGGATCGAGAAGTTGCGAATTAAATGCCTGAACTAAATCATAAGCTTCATTCGAAGTTGGATCGATGAATTTACCTATTTCTGGTCGGTATAACGTACACTTTACAGCATCTTCTATCGACATAGGTTTGCTAGAAGGTACAATATAACCTTTTTTCTTTGCCTCTTGCAAATTGATCGTTTTATCAAGCTCAATTATAGTATAAGTTCCGCGCACATCATCGATAATTTTCTCAGTAATCGCTTGGGAAAGCGGAATGTAATGATTTGTTTTTGAATTTTTAACGATTGATACTAGAGGATTGATCATATCAATTTGACAAGCTTCAGATAACGTCAATTTTTTATTTGTTGATGGATGAATAAATTGTCCGGATGGTATATCATACATTTTCATGTGTACCGCTTCGTACAAGCTAAATCCTGCACTTTCGATGTCAACGATTAAACCTAATTGGAGAGCCATAGATAAAGGAATAGGACAATTAGCACCTGGTTCTTTAAACATACCCGATCGTCTATCTATAACTCCTGCTCGACAAGTTTCTGCAAGAGATAATAGAGTTTCATTTCTTTTATCCCAATAACACACCAATTTTGGACTAATTATACATATCCTCATCGCTTCATGAAGAGTGATTGTTCTTCCTGTTGATGGATCAATAACCTTTCCTGTCTTTTCATCATACAACCCTTGATGAATCGCACGTTGAACTGAAATTGCTGCTTTATTATCTACAATTAGACCTGTTTCATAAGCTTGGATCAACGAAACTTCGATATTATTTTTAGAATCTTTGACTTTTCCACTTGTACCATCGATTATTCCCATATTTATTGCCTCTTTGAGTGCAATGTTCTTTGCAAATCGAACCGTTACATCTTTAACTGTAACTGAATCAGCATCAATTAAATTTTTCTCAATTGCTTGAGTTATAGTTAAATATGCACCAGATTTAGGATCTAAAAATAGGTTGGTTTTCTTATCTAAAATGCCTTTTAACACTGTTTCACTGAAACTCATTGGTCTTCTAGTTTCTAATAAAACACCTTGTTCGAAAGCTTCATGGAAATCAATTGGACGACCCTGCTCAACAATAACTGTACCAGTTTTTGGATCAATAATTTTTTCTTTAATAGCTTTATTGAATGTAATCAGTTCACCATACGGATCTTTTACAATAGCAGAAGTAGGATCAATAATACCTTCTTTAATTGCACGATCAGTTGGTAGTCTCTCTCTTGTTTCTAAACTAATAAATTGTCCAGTTTTAGGATCATAAAATCCTTTAAAAACTGCCTCAGGAAGAGATATTTTTCGTTTTGCTGGAACTACTAAACCACGATCTAAAGCATCTACAAGAGATAAGGCAGTACCAGTGGATGGATCCAAAGCTGTTCCAGATTTAGGATCTATTAAACCAAGTTTAATAGCATCACTCAACGTTATTACGTCTCCAGATCTTGGATCCTTCACAGATGGACTGTCATGACTTATCAAACCTTTCGAAATAGCTTCTTCTAACGTCAATCTATCACCATCTATCATAAATCTTCCTGTTACAGGATTATAGCTTTGATGAGCTAAAGCTTCCTGCAAAGTCCAGGGTTTTGTAGTGTTCAAAATATATCCTTTCTCTAAAGCAACATCTAACTTCATTGGATGAGGATATACTAAAATTCCTTTTTGTAAATCAATTAATCCACTCTTTTCAGCATCTTTTAAAGATACTACTACTTCTTTTCTGTCATCTTTTATTTTAATCATCCGTCCGTCAACAAATCCAGAAGTCAGTGCGTGTTTTACTGTTGATTCTATGCCTGTCATTGGATTTAAAACCAGTCCAGTCTTTGGAGAATAATATTCCTGAACTATCACATCAATTAATGAAGGCACGAATGGTGTTGTAATAATTAATTTTTTATTTAAAGCCTCGTCGAGTGGCAATAATTCACCTGCCTTTGTATCTCGAAGCCTACCAGTCTTAGGATTGAGGAGCTTTACTGTTAAAGCATCATCTAAAGATAGAAAAGATCCTGCTTTCGTATCTTGACATTCAGTAATAAATGAATCAATTATTCCTCGCTTAACTGCTTCTTCGACATCTATATTTTGATTTGTCATTGGATCTTGGATACTTCCTGATTCTGGATCATACAATCCTTTGCTAATCACAGCTTCTAGAGAAATTGGCTTACGAAGACCTGGAAGAACTAGACCTTGTGTGAATCCTACTTTTATTTCTACTTCAGATTTCGTTTCAGTATTTATTATTACACCACGATTCAAATCAACAATACCTGAATCTACTGCTTCAGCAAGAGGAATGATTTCATCGTTTGCTGGATTACGAATGGAAACTGAGTCAACATCAATTAAACCTGTTTCAACAGCATCAGCTAATGATAATTGTTCACCAGATCGTGGATCCTGAAGATCTCCACTAATAGAATCACAAATACCTGATTGAATGGCTTCTTGAAGAGTCAAAGTGGACTCTTGATCGATTATTGGAGATCTCTGAATAATCAGACCAGTCTGAACTGCTTCAAAGAATGGAATCTTCTTACCACTCTTTGGATCTACCATATAACCAATATTTCTATCTACGAGAGGTCTATTAATAGCTTCACGAAGTGATACGTATTCATCAGTCTTACTTGATAGGTCTTTTACCCAGACATTGTCAGGATCAAAAATTTCTAAACCTAAAACAAAATCGTGGAAACCAATTGTCATACCAGTATAAGGATTGACGAATTTTTCTGAAATTAAATCGTAAACTCCTTGTTCTGATAAGTATTGAGGAGTTAGATTTCTAAAGATTTCTATTTTAAATCGTGGTCTTTCTTCTAAAATACAAATTTGAGTTTTACTAAGAACAACAATAGTCTCATTTAATTCTATTTCATGCTTCTCCAAGGCTTCATCTACTGTCAATGGAAGTTCTTTTTGTCCAATCATAATTTTGCAAACCCCAGGCTCAATTAAATCATTTTCAATTGCTTCTCCTAAAGTAATTTGAAGAGGTTGAGAGCTTTGAACTTCAGACTTTTCAACCTTTTCACTTTCAGAATCATGAACAGATTTTTCTTTCAACTTTGAAATATCTTTAGGTTTTTCTTCAACTGGTTTTACTTTACTTCCTGTTACAGTTTCTTTAACTTGATGAACTGGACTTGTTTCTTTAACAGGAGACATTGTCGGTCTTCTATCAGCAGTCTTACGATTTTTAATTGCATCTACTACTACTTTTCCAGCTAGAACTGGAGCAGCAACGACAGCAAGAAGACCTAATTTAGCGGCTTGAGACACAGACATAGTACTTCCGTTAGCATCTTTAATTTTCCCAGTCTTGGGATCTAAAACTCCACGTTCTACAGCTTCTTTTGTCGTTATTTTCTCAGATGTTTTGACATCGTAAACCACAGAATCAGGTTCAATTAATCCAACTTCCATAGCCTCAGTAAGACTATAAGCTTTATTTGTTTCTGGATCACGGAATTGTTGAGTTGATTCGTCATAAATCTGATCTACAGCTTCTAAAACTGTCATTGACGAACCAGAGGTTGTTTTCTTTGGCGATTCTGATGGTACAGATTGTGCTGTATCAATAATTCCATCTTCAATAGCCTGTGAAATAGGCATTACACTTCCACTATCAGGATCTGTATATGTTCCTTCATTCATATCAATTAATCCTTGCTCAACAGCATCACTAAATGCCATTTTAATATCTCTAGTAGTAAATTCTTCTTTCTTTTCTGATTCATCTTTAACAATTCCTAGTTGGTGAGCTTCGTCCATAGAAATAATCTCACCAGTCTTCATATTTTGGACTTCAGAGGTATTTAAAAGAGCATAGCCCGGAAGTAGTTGTACTGTTTTTGTCGTGATTGTATGATAGGAAGTAATAGTCTCTGTCACAGCAGTAACTTTATTCTCCTCTTCGGGTTTATCTTTAACGACTAAAAGCCCGGATTCAAAGGCTTCTTCTATTGGAATAATTTTATTAGTTACAGGATGAGTAAAAATAGCCTTATCTTTGTCAATAAGACCGGCCTCAAGGGCTTTTGTTACTTCTATACATTCAGGTGCAGCTGGATATGGTAAGGTCATAATAAAATCTTTCTCTATCGCATCTTCTAATGGCAATTGTTGACCAGTAATTGGATGCGTTATTTGTTTTGTATTTACATCAACGAGTCCTCTCTTTAAAGCAACAGGGAAAGTCATTCCTATTGGTGGAAGAGATACAGAACTCGCGGGGTCTTTTAAAATAAATTTATTTGCTTCAGTAGCTTCTATTAAATTTAAATTACCTTCTTGACAACGTACAAGTGATTTATCACCATCAATATCATCACTATCTATGGAGGACTGGATTGATAATTTTTTACCATCTTCGACAATTACTTCTGACAAAGGATCCACTATATCACAAATAATTGCTTCATTCAATGACAAATTTTGTCCAGTTTCTGGATGAACTATTGTACCTTCACGATCTAATAGGCCTTGATCATACAATTCAGGAACTGAAAGACTGTGAGCAAGTGGAATTAAAATATTTCCACTCGTTGAATCTAATACTCCACGATCAAGAGCTTCTTTAATTGAAAGAACATCTCCGCGTTCAGGATCAACAATTTTTCCTTCACTTGGATGAATTTTGTTACTTTTAATAGCTTCTTCTAATGACTCTTGATTTAATTCACTTTCATTCACAGCTGGCTCTAATATTTTCATGGTCTCTTGATCAATTAATCCACTCTCTAGAGCCTCTTTTGGAGTTATTATCTTCTTTCTCATCTTTTGGAGTATAATTGGCTTTGCTTCTTTTTCTGGACTCTGACTTAAAGTTTTCGCTCGGCCAATTGTTACCTTATACTTCGGTTCGGTTGTTACTCTACTTCGTGTTTGCTCTGCTAAACTTGGTCCCTCACTTTCTTCAGATTCCATTTTTTCTAAAGTTTCTCTTGAAGCTTTTACTATTTTTTCCGAAGCATTTGAATCTGTTTTACTAATTAATTTATTCATTTCATCTGCTGTAATGATTCCTTTCTGCAATGCTTCTTCTCCAGGAATTTCTACTCCTGTTTTTGGATCTTTTACAAATATCGACATCATTTCTGATTGATTCATAGTCTTATCAGGAGTAACTAGACCTCTCTCTATAGCTACTTCTCTTGGAATTTTTTCACCAGTCTTTGGATCTTTTATCATCGCTTTTTTCACAGCTTCAACTGCAGCAGCTGCTGCTACTAAAGGTGTTCCAATCACTGCCACGAGTCCAAATTTAGCTGCATCACTGAGAGAAATTTTTCTTCCAGTTTTATCAACGTAAACACCAGTCTGAGGGTCTAATATATTTTTTTCTACAGCTTTTTCTAAAGTTATTTCATTGCCAGTCTTTGGATCTTTCACTACTACTGACTCAGATTCTAAATTACCTTCATTTACAGCAGCCAAAATATTGGCAGATTTCCCAGTTTCAGTAAAAATTACAAGAGCTGTCTCAGGATCATAAATTACTCCTTGAGATACTTGAACAGGATCTGAAGAAAATGGATCCTCAAGGCCTGACACTTCAACATCCTTGGAATTCTCATCACCATATGTTACTTCAACTTTGTCAGGTTTGCCTGACATTTTCGTAATTTGTATCATTCTAGGATTTGGTTGTTCAACATCCATACTTCTTTCTTCTAATATTATCAAGCCTTTCTCTATAGCTTCCTTCATAGAAATTTTATGAGAATGAATATAATGCCCTGTCGCATCTAGGATATTTTTGTCTATACTACGAAGTAATGAAATCTTTCGTCCATTATTTGGATCAATGACAAGCCCAGAGTGAGGATTGATGATCTCTAACTTGACACATTCCTCAAAAGAAACAAGCCTGTCAGTTCCAGGAATGATAAAAAGTCCAGAAACTGGATCAAACAACCTCTGTTTAATAGCTTCAGAAAGCATCCAACCTTCAGATGGCAATTCAAATACTCTTTTCTCCGTCAAACTTGATTCTTTTTCAATAAAACTCTCAACCTCTTTTTTAATATTCATCACTGTTTTTTGAGCTTTAGAAATTGGTTTATCTAAATCTTCATCAGATGGTTTAACAAAGACTGTACTAACAAACTCATTTCCCTGTTTACTTATTTTTGTCGGTGAAGAATTCGAGTCAAGAGAATCTGACTTACGAGCGGATTTTTCTTTCTTTTTTAACGGAGAAGTTTCAGAATGATCTTCGATGGAAGTAATAAGAGTTGAAATCTTTGGAGAAGAATTAACTTCTTCATTGTTAAAAGAAACGTTACCGCGAGTTATAATTGTGGTAGTTGTTCCCACAGCTTTTGGTGGAGGGGAAGGAGCAACAGAAGACACTCGTAAAGTTGGAGGTTCATTTACATTAGCATAAAGAGTACTTTCAAAAACCATTTGCTTTGAAGGAGAATCTCTAGTCTTTTTAGGAGAAGGAACAGGTTTTTCTGATTCCCTAGCTTCAGGAGTGCTGAGTAAACCTCTTTCAATAGCCTCTTTAATATTAAATCGTCTATTATTATCAGGATCCGTAAATTCTCCAGTCTTTTCATTTAATAAACCTCGTTTAAGAGCATCCCTATAAGATATTTTATAATCTCTTGTAATTGTTTCTCCAGTCTCTGTAACTGTTACATAACGTTTAATTGTTTTCGTCACAGTCTGTGTCGTTACTGTAATATTTAAAAGACTTGCAAGTAATGCTGCACCATCTGGAGTTATCAAGCCACGCTTGATAGCATCCTCCAAAGGTACTGGTTTCTTTGATCGTGGATCTAACAAATGACCTGATCTTGGATCTAATAATTCAAGCAATACCGCTTCTAAGACACTAATCTCTCGACCATTCTCAGTCACACCTATTCCTCGATTCAACATTTCCATGACTTCCGGTCTCGCATGACCTAATTTTACTGCTTCATTGAAGGAAACTGATCGTCCAGTTTTCAAATCTACTACAAATGATCCACCGGCTTTCGGACTTATCAATCCCTTCAATAAAGCAGCATTTAGACTAATAAACTCTTCAGAAACAGGATCTTTAAATCCATCGATATCAAATATTGATTTTTGTGCTACTGATGTTATCAATCCTCTATCAACAGCTTCAGGGATACTAAATTCTTCACGAGTTTTTAAATCTACATATTTTCCACCATCAACTTGAATAATCCCGCTTGCTAGTGCATCAGAGAGTGTAAGCAAATCACCAGATCGTGTATCAGATACCGATTTAATATTATCAGAATCTAAAACCCCCACCGATATCGCTTCTAAAATTCCAAGTTTAGTTTTATGAATTGGACTGAATATTTTACCTTTATCATCAATTATTTCTAAATCACAACAATCTTTAAGTGTCATTGGTTTAACAATTAATTGACGTCTTCTAGCTTCTTTAAATGACAATTTTTCCATGGTAATTCCATGCACGTATTTTCCATTTTTCGCATTTATTATCCCCTGATTCATAGCTTCAGACATTGTAATTTTAATATCATTTCTCGCATCAACAACTTCACGAACATCTGGATCAATGATGCCTTTAGCAATAGCTTCAGTAAGTAAATAATTTTCTCCAGTATTTCTATCAATAATTTGACCCAGTCTATCATCGACCAACCCTTGAGATATGGCATCAGCTAAGGCTAGAGCACCTCGTTTGATTTTTACAGTTGTATTAACCTTGGCTATGAAACCACGTTTGAAAGCTTCTTCAATTGTCATCAATTCCCCATTGTCTGTTACGAATTGACCTGTCTCTGGATCTAACAAACCTTTTCGCATCGCATCGGCAACACTAACCCCGGCTGAGGACACACACGTTACCTTGACTCTATCATCATTTTTCTCAGCATCAAATAGTTGACGTTGGATCGCCTCCAACAGAGATAACCGACGACCATTTTCTGTAACTCCACATGGTCCTAATAATCGACGAGCCAATTCCACGTCAATTAAATTAAGAGCCACAGCTTCTTCAATTGAAACACTCGTCTTGTCTTCGATTGAAGTCACAATTCTACCATTCCTAACATCTAGTATTCTAAGACTTATTGCCTCGCCTACGCTCAAGACTTGGCCAGTTTTTGGATGAATTATACCGCGTGCTTCTATTACATTATCTGTATCAAGTGTATTTTCAGATCTTTGTCTTCTTTTGAGGCTCCTTGTTTCACTATATTGCACACTGCTCTGCGTACTACTCGTACTATGTGCCCAGGAGCCATCATTTTCAGTTCTATCCGTGATGTTGCCATTTGTTGCAACAAAGTTGTGATTATTGTACGGTTTAATTGGGGATTCTTCCCGTAATGACTTCTGCTGAATCTCACTAGATTCATATCGTTCAGACGAGAACCTAGATAATAAAATTTACATTTATCAATAAACAAAACCAAATATCTATTTATAGGTTTTGTGTGAAATTACTCCAAGTATCAGCATGCTTTGATCAAAATAAAAATAAAATAAATAATAAAAATTTATTTAAAAAAGTGAATTAATAAATAAAATATTATTTTAACGTTGAAGTAAGACATTTTGCATCACTTTAATTTTTCTATTACTTACTGCGATTGAGTGTAGTGTGTCGTAGTGGATGAATACCGTTCCTCACTTGTTGTACTTTCATAGATGTTAAACTCTGTACGAAATGTACGCAGTGGTCGTTGCTCTTGCAGAGCACGCTGAAACAGCAACGATAAAAGATACGTTACTGTTAGCATTTTACAACATCAGAAATCACATTGTGAAGTGTTAACTTGATATTTATAGCAATATATTTTTGTATTTTATCATCTATTATCATAGTTTTTTTCCTGATCAATCATTATCAATCACTTTAATAACTTTGATTAAAATAATTCCAAATTTTTCGTATAAAGTAAGTGTAACTGTGTCATTATTATAAAATGAACAATTTTCTGCACGAGTGTATTATTTGCAATTCAAAGTTTAATGCACTGATTCACGAGATAACATAGTAAAAATTTCGATCAAAGGGTATTTGATCAAGATAATATCAACACTTTTGAAAGAAACTACGTGTTCTATATCACTTTAATGAACTTTTAAAGTATAAATTAAAAAAGAATCATTTAATTAACTTCTTCATGAATTTTAATTTTATTTCTTTCACTACCAACAATTAATTCATGATAAACATCTATGATTGTTACATCACTGAAACGTCAGAATGAAAAACTTGGCTTAGACTAGGAACCTTGAACTGCAAACACTTGAGTAAACTTAACTGTCATGTCTTCATATAATAAGACTAGTAGAGTTTGATTGTTAGATATGTAATGAAGAGTTGTCTTTTAAAAATTAATAGAAATGTTTCCAGGAAAATTGAATCAAAACCTATGATGTAGTTAATATTGTGCTTAGACTTAACTGCAGACAGGTAGTGAAATGAGCAAGCAAGCGAATCAGCTTTAATCTAACTGGTGAGGGAATCACCGTTGATGCTTGACGGACGGAAGAGAGTTTGAGTGAACGTACTGACAACCCGGTATCGAAGAGACTACATATCTTTTGCATTGTACAATTCATAAAAATCTTCCTTACAATTCTATAAATAATTTCCCCACCATCAGGAATACAGGAAAACATTTTTTAAGCGGGGTACGTTTTACTTTACTTCAGTCTTCGGTTATTCATATTTTTAGAGCATGTCCAGACACCGGTGTTTCCCCACGCAATATATATGTTGCTCTGATATATTAAGAATTATGTTTACGCTTCGAGCTTTAGGTAAATTGCTCTGTCAATGTACTTTTCTAAATGTTTTGGTTAAAAAAAAAACAATATAAAAGCTTATTAAAAATTTCTAATTTACAGATCTCAGTTGCTTTTCTAAGGCAGTTAATTTTTTTCTAAAATAACTATTTCATTTTATTTCGTTCTAGTAAGTCCATTAAATATTTCATTTAAAATAAGATAATTTTTTTCTTCGAAAAAATATCAAAATAACATTTAAATTAATCTAGTTAAATCTACTTTTAAATTTAAAAAATAATTTAAACTTTGTTATTAATGGGAAAATAATTTTTAATAAAAAAAAATTCATTCAATTAATTCATAGAAATAATTAAATTCAAAACTTACTGATTGAGTCAAGTGAACTAAGTATATGGAATGATTTCATTGATTAATATGGATAAGTAATTAAGGCATTAAAAAAAGCAACTGATAATTTACCATCAACGACATATTACGTATCAGAAAAAAATCGATGACATCATATTATATTTAACAACCCGCATCACCCTGAACTTGATTCTAATTAATTCTGCAACCTACTTGGACTGAAAACAAATCTAGCATGATTTGAAAATAACTAGACTATTCTAACTCAAGTCCACCTAACTCTTTTACCTAGTTTTACAAAAACTAAAAATAATTTTCACTAGTCAAATCTGCAGGTGGATCATCTACTAAGTGATGATGATTCATCAAGATAGATGGAAACAATCTTCAACAAACTTGATGTACAAATTTGAATCTCTAAGTTTCCAGTATTGGTATTTAAATGACCTTAAAACACCTAACAGATTAATTAATAAGATTGAAAAAAAAAAATAAATCGATTGCCTCTGTAACATTAATTTGATTGATTTATAATGTTTATCGCTAGGTGATTACAGATTATCACCTAGCGATTCGTAGAGTATGTAATAAGAGCAATTTTAAAAGCATTATGATCAATTATGCCTCAAGGTATTTTAGTATTATAATGCTACTATAAATAAGATAATTTAATCAATATTTATCCGTTTCTGACATCTTTTTGTTCTGTACTTTACTTATTATTGTAACAACATAATAAAGTAACACACGTAGTTATGATGTTGGTTGAGTTTATATAAACATTTTAAATTTGGCAGACAATTGTAATTCTTGGCAAATTCAGGATAAAATACTTTGTAGCATATTCAAGTGTAAATTTCGATCAGTTTTGAATCATCAATGTGGACATTTTACGTGACCAGTTTGTTGATTATCAAATTTGAAATGTATCAACATAAACCTTACTATTGAACTCTACTTTTTCATGCATATATTCATTATTTTTTTGTACTGACTTTAAATGACTATTTCTTTTTAAAATATATTTACTAAAAATTGTAAAATATGTTAAACTAATTCTGTGACCTTTTTTTTTAAGTTTGTTTGTGAATTAATTACCTGACGAATAATCCTTACTTCTGGAAGCATATTTGACATTCATAAAAATCCAACATTCACTAGAAGATCATCAATAATTAGCAAAAGAGAAGAGTTTAATGTTTCTTTAAGTGTAAAAATTATCAAAATATTTTCAATGTAACATGTGAGTGAATATTGAACAGCCACGTCAACTCACAACACAACATTAGAATTTTTAACATTATCAATCTTTATCTTATCACACTTGCCATAAATTATAACTTTATGAGACGAAAAATTTTAACTAAATATAAATCAAAGAATTCAGAAGCACTATTTAATAATATCAACAATGACACAATAAATCCATATAGAAAAAAGGGAAACGCCTTGCGGCGTGAAAATGCGACGATGTTGACTCAAACACTTCGTCTGGGAGACTGAAGTCGAAACTGGTGGCCGCGTGGCTGCAAACTCTCAAATACGCAATGTCTAGTCAGTTTTAATAACATATTGAGCTTTCAGCAAACTTTCAGTTAATTCTAAATAATTTATTATTTATCCAGTTGATAAAAAAAAACCTCATGTATATTCATCACTAAATTTAAACTTTAATCAAATCTATCACATCAAGACCGACATTTAATTAACCAGCTAAATCCTTGAACTTATTTCTTTTATCATTTTTCTTTTATCAAATCAATAAAATATGTATATTATTTGTAAGTACTAATTTATTTAATTCTACAAATTCAATATGTCAACATTGATAAAGTAATAAAATAAAAATATTTTAGATAAAATTCATGTAAAAATGATTCCTCAACTGATAAATTCTACAATATAAAATTCTAAAAGTGCAATTGTAGTTAGACCATGTCAATGGCATCCTGATTGTCATCATTGTATGATAAAAATTTATCAATGAAAATTGTCGGTAAATAATAATTGTATTTATAAATAAAACAGGTCAATCGATATGAATATACTGAAGTAACCTTTTTCAATTCATAAAATTGCTAATTTCCATTTTCTCTTTTTGTAGCAGATGTCTGACCAGGTTTATGAATACAATGATTATATTATCTCAAAACTTATCTGTCGTTATATAACCATTCATCTGATAGTTTGATTGGAATTGTAATCATCTTTTTTTTTCTTTTGCAACCATCATCAATAAATCAACGGAAATGTTGATGCATCAGTAACCGGCTTTTTATACGTTATGGATAATTACAATTATTTCTGACATCAGGAAAGGATTTTTATAGCTTTCTGCCCACGTTTTTAGCATATATATGTATTTACAAGCAAGTGAATTTGACGAGTGAGGCCGACACGAGCTGCCCACTCAGTTTCATACTCAACCAGTGAAGCAGTCGCGTCGCACAATCCCTACTACATCTTGCTTATTGATCCTGAATACGCCCAAGATGAAAGGAAAATCTATTTCGCTGATAAAAATCAATCTGATAAGCAATCACTGAATGTTTTATTTTTATCAGATGTTTAAGTATTCAACAAGTCTAAGGTAATGGATTGAATTATGAAGTATTGATAATTGACAATTACTAGTTAATTGTCATCTAGAGATCTATCTGACAAATGAGAACCTGTTTCTTGAAGAAAAAATTAAATAATCGATCTAATTCATTGGGAAACTGATAGCAACTCTGAGTCATGGACTAATTTATTCGTATTCACTTGATGAATAGTAATATTGACACACTTTTATGTTTGAAATAGCTTTAAACAGCTCTCAAGGAAAATAATTATCTGCGGAAAAAAAACCTCACCTTACCCATTACATCATGGACGATTTAGAAATTCATGTGATGTCATGTAGCAGTTATTGCCATTTCGAATTGTATGTGAGGTCTTACAAGATGCCATGTATAGAATTTTTTGAGATAGCTGTCATAATCAACAACTCTACTTGCAAACGTGAGTTCGTAAGTAAACATCTTGAAAACCGGTCGAGGATTCACGCTGGTTAAATGACTTTCTTTTCAAGGACCACTTTTTTTTTTTCATCTACTAATCAATTGGAAGTAATCAAGAATTTTCAGATAAAAACATTTTTTAAAATTATTTCTTAGAATTTATTACGAAGAAAGAATAGTAGCGTGATGATTGAATTAAATTCTGATAGATCTTTATCAAATGACTGAACTAAAGTAGGACTCACTTAATTGCTGTTCCGTTAACTAATTACAATCAAGTTGTTATGTATCGTCTTTGAGAATCATTACTAAATTCATTCTATTTATATTTCATCAAATTATACGTAATTCAGGATTGATCACACCCGCATTAACCAGGTTCCAATTACAAGTTATACTCAATAACAATTGATTGAAGTTCTATCAAGCTTAAAGTAAAGTTGATAAGATAAATGGTAAAAATATAGTAACGTTAAATAAAAACATCATAAAAATGAACATGATATAAACTTACCTGAAGGCCGATGTCATCAGGATACTGTTGAGCAAGTTTCTGCACACGTTCTCGACAAAGGCTGACTAGAGTTGTGTATCTCCTGTTAAGATTGTCGAGGTCATGAGCGATGGCATCTACTGTTGTGACAGATTCCCGGCGTGGTCGTTTGACAGAAGCATCAAGTGATGGACATAATTCGTCGAGCTGCTCCTTGAAGGCTCTCAGCCGTTGTCCATAGATCTATAGAGTCCGGTTAGTCGGTTATGGTTAGTAAATTAGACTTCTAATTGTTCTACCGTTAACGTCGTAAGCAACAATAAGAAGCATGGGATTTTCTATAACTATTATTCTACTTTTATAGAACCTAGTGTTGTAAAATTGTATTGATTATTACTAATTGTATAAAATGTTAATTAAATGTAAAATGAACAAATGTTTAAATAGTTAAAATTGTTTGATTTATTTAATTTATTAATTTAATCAAAAATTTTGAAGATGTTGATTTATTTTATGATACAACACTAGGCTGATGAAGGTTTGTATTAATACTACATAAAAATTAGTGAACTGCAAGCATCCACCACCATTTATTCCATCATGATATATCCAAGCACCATTCAATCATGCTACACATTTATTTTTAATTAAATGACAATTAATTTCTTTTCCACTCTCTTCAGTAAATCACAGTGTTTATCTATCACTAAAGTGAATAGATTTAAAATTAGAACGTTAGAAAGTAATTAAAACTTGTTATTCACAATAGAAAAAAAAAATATAAATAATTTTTTAATTTACCTGAATATTTATAAATAAATATTTAAAAATAATTACCGAATATTGTAATTACAATAAATATTCCATTAATAAATATAAAATAAGAAATACACAAAAATAGTTATTTAGACGTACGACCAAATGGAGAAGCCGATACGTATCATCAATACCTTTGTTGTCTGCTGAAAGGTACATTCTTAAAAAAAATTTTACAGATAATTATCATTCATAGATAGTACGAATATTTACAAGATAATTTATTACTTTACTTAATTTCTAAAGTCTCAATCACTCATCATCCATTCCATAGGCCTACGCTATTTATAAGGCTAGAGCAATTAAATATTTTTTTCGTTCTTACCTTGCCCTCACGAATCAATCTTCCTCCCGTGACATTAACGGCTTCTATTGCTGGCGCACGATCGCAGACTCGATTTAACAAGTTCTAAAAAACAAAATGAGAATGCTTACAATTCTTTAAAACATTAGAAATACCTTAAATAACTTCATTTTATTTTATTTTTTTTTTATTTTAGTAAATATTTGTAAAAACATTTATTTCAAATCTATTTTTCTTTACCTTCGCTGTTACTAGCTCTTGAGCTTCAGTAAGAATTGGTGCTGAAGATTCAAGTTTACTGTAACTTTCATCCACGAAATCCACTTCAGATTGATATGAAGTGTGATATTGTTGAGCTAAACTGTAAGCAGTTTCAGCACTGCGTAATCTATCAACAAGTTGTCCACAAATATTAGTCCATCTGGCATTTAATCTGTTAACTTCAGCATCTAGACGATCCATATCACTGTGAGGACCACGATGATTTGGTCTGGATTTTTCAACAAGTCTTCTAGCATTATGAGCATCATCATTAAGCTGATCAATAGATGTTTGTTGTTGAGAAATAGCATTTTGTAAAAGCATAAGATCTTCAAGTACAATCTGAAGACCTTTCACATCGGACGGAAGTTCACTGTATGATGCTAATTTAATTTCTAGTTCTGTAATAGTTGCTGTGTTTTCTTCAAGGCCTGAAAGTACAATTTCAATACACTTAAGTCGTTCGATATATAAACTGCTGAGATTCCATAAGTGATTCCACTTAGTCATTATGTTATCTAATTTATTCCTCATTGCCGGAGTCTTCAAAGTAATTCCTCGGAACGTTTGCTGAACTTGTTCATAATCAGGAGCTAAACGTTGTAATTTTTGTTCAAAGTCCTTATGCTCAAGAACCATGTGTTCTAAGCTATCAAGATCTCGTGGTAATGGAGACGCAATACGAATATTTAAAATTCTCTCTGCTTCATCTAAAGCCTGTTGGAGAGATGATACTTGATCGTTAAAGATCCTTCCTGCATTCTTAGATTCCTCTTCAGCACGTGCACGCTTTTCAAAGTCATCAAACAACCTGTTGACATCAGCAATCTCCCTCTTAAGTCTTCTTAATTGAGGATCCGCTGGATCTCCTTCAGACAAAAGCTTTTCAGCGTCTTCATTCAAAGCCTTCCTTATTGCCGTACGTTGATCTTGACCCATTGCCAGGAATTGGGGTAAATCCCAGCCTTTAACCACTTTAATCGTTGCAAAGATCATGTTTTGCCTCAAGCGAAGTTGTTTTCGTTGCCAGAGTGCAACACTTCGATCATATTGACGTCGTAGCCTTTCAGCAGCATCCAACGCATCTTTGTCTGGAGGTTGGAGCGTGAAACAAACTCCAGGAACTGGAGATTCAACACCTTGAGAATTTTTCACGCGCCATTTGACACGGCCTGAGTTGTCATACAGGGTACACTGTTCGTTTTTCTCGATGGACATGTTCACTTGCTTGTATGTGCAAATACAAGTAACTTGTAAAGGTCTTGTTACTGGTTGTCTTCGTTGCTTCATAGGCACAATACTACTTGCCTGATCGACTAATCTCTGTATATGATCACCATAATTATTTAGCTCTTCTCGTAGCTCTTGCATTCCTTTGAGCAAGCGCTCACCTTCGTCTAGAGAGAAGTCTGATTGCGAGTAAATCGTATTCAGAACCTCGTCTCTCTTTAAGATCCACTGTTCAGATTGTTGAATCTCTCTGAAAAATTGTTCACTAGCTGTTGCATTCTTTAAGTGGACTTCAAGGCAAAGTGTAAGTTGTAACAACCAAGCCCATTGACTTTGCATCGCTGACATGTAAGCTTCAATTGTCTTTGCTGCTGGGTGGTGTTGCAAAACCAAGGCTTCTCCGCGATCTTGTACTGCTGAGAATTGGATCTCACGTTTCTCCAAGTCGTTCATGAGACTCTGCAAATAAATGTGATAACAGTTGATAAGATATCCTAATAAAATGTTAATTTTACAATCGCGAAGTTATTAACGGCAATAATTATTCATTACAAAGTATGTTTACCTCAATTCCTGAACCGTATGTTTGCTTGAAAATTAATTAGAGATAAAATTAAATATAAATATTAAAAGTATCAACATTGTTAGTACACTTGAAAGTTCTTTTTTTTTCTAAACATATCGCTAACGACATATCATTAAATAGATAGAAATGTATGCAAAATAGCTTACCTCATAGTAATGTTCAATGTATTGAATATTTAAATGTTTATCGCTCCAATCGCGTGTAACTTCAATGTCTTCTTTAGAATTGAGCCAAACCAATTCTCCTGTTGCTGATTGTATGAAGTCATGTAAGGTGTCCAAATCGGATAACCGTTTATTGGAGGTACTCAATAATTCGGAATATATTTTTTGCAAAGTGCTCAAGTGCTGACTATAAAGAGTAAGCTCTTCTCCATGGAAGTTGTTTTTGGCATGAATACATTTGTCAACTTTATTGTGAAATTGATCGATATTTTTATGTTCTCTTTGATGAATATCCAATTCATTTTTAACGCTCGGTAAATCTGATCCATAATCAGCTTCCTGGAGCTGTTTTAATTTACTTTTGCACCAATCAATGCAATCGTGCAAATTACGGAAATGTGGATTAGTATCGACTAATCGAGTCTCGTGGACGGTAGTGCGATGTTTCGTGACAACCCGTTCCTCTACGGGAAATGAGACGGCTGAAAGTGGCTGTACCAGACGCTTGTGCAATAGAGAACGCAATGCTACCCAACGTTGATGTAATTTTTGCACTCTGTAAGAAAGAAATATGAAGCTCGTACGTGATATTGCTCTATTGAATTGAATTCTACTAGTTATTAAATAATCAGAATGATTGTATTTATGTACCTTTTATGAAGTTCACCAGCTTGACTGTATTTACCCTCAGTAAGAGTGTGAATGTCAGTGAATATATTTTGAATTTGAATCTCGGTATTACGAATATCCTGTTCCAATAAGTCGACTGCGTGTTTCGCTTCTAAAGGATGAAGACGATCAAGACGACGCGCCTCATCCTCTACACGTCTTTCTAACTCTTCTAAACGATTGTCTGTTGATTTCATTTCGCGATGAACTTTCTCAGCAAGCCGTTGTAGCCGTTCCAAACTAAAAATAATTATTCTTATACCAAATATGCTTTAAAAAAAATTCTAATGATAATTTCTTAGCTACTTACCGTTTGATTTCATCAATAACAGCTTGTTCTCTTTCTTGATGAAGCATCATCAATCGATTCCAATTTTTATCGATCACGTCAATATGTAATTCAGGCTCCATATCGATCTCACCCACAGCTTCAAAATATTTCTCAAGCTCTCGGAAGATGTGAGTAAGTCGTTGTTTGTCTCGATATCGGGACGGTACTTCTTCGTTTTTAAATTTCGCATTATCCGCTGCAAGTTTCTTCATCTCTATGAGAGTAGGCGGGAATGCACGTTCTTGCATGATTACAATCTTCTCTCGCATCCAAAGATGAAGAGAACTAGCGAGCTCACGGTATTCAGCTGATCTTCGTTGTGCTTCGGCATCATAGAGAGGGTGAATTGGTGGAGGCTCTGGGAATACATCGTAGAGCGAGGAGATGTACGTTATCAATGACTTCTCGTCCGGTTCGGGGGTATCAACATCTAGAAGAATCATAATAACATGAATTAATATTAACAGTAGTAACGAGACTTGAACTTAAAAATTAAAAATAAGATTGAACTCATGTGGAATGGGTTTAATGGATCTGGATTAAAGTAGTTGATTACAAAAAATAGATCTTGCCCTTGAAAATATATCTTTGCATTCGTCGACGCTATCACCTGAACAATAGTACCTTTACACATTGAGAATAGTATACGCAATTATACGGAGAGCCGGTGTCACGGTGTGTGAGTGCGACCGGAAGTGATGTCGGGTACCGTGACCAAAAAGAATGTGTGCCACATAAGCGATCCAGGTAGAAACGAGCATCTACATACACTCGGAAATCAAACATGTAGAAGCTTTCAAGTAAGTACAAAAGTTAAGTCTGACTCTATGTTTATCGTTATTCACCATGAAGAATAGGTTCAGGATAACTTAACATATCTTTTACACGTTTCGAACTATTACTTTTATAGAGAGAATTAATTTTTATGCAAGAATCTTTTTAAGATGATTTTTTTACTGGTGTAATTAAATTATAAACTCTATAATAAATAGTTGTATATATTTTTTAAGCTAAAAAGATGATTAAATATATTTTAAAATAATTTGTTGACTAATGAATGAATGTTTTATTTTCTCTTTTGGAAATTCCAAAAATTTTAATATCAATAGTAATGAGACTTTTACAAAAGATTCTCTCTCACAACCTTCATAAAAATTCACATTGTCTCATTGTTCTTTGTTTCATTTGAGAATTACTCAATATCCTTTTGTAAACTTGTTATTATTAGTTATTTTTTTTTCTTTTTCAAGCGACTTACTAATCTGACGTATGAGATCAGTTTTGAAATGAATTTTATTTGGTGCCGCCCCCATGATTTCGATTCATTTTTTACAGATAAATCAGAGCAATCGAGTCCACTTCATTAAAAGGTAAAAAAAGAATTGATAAACCAATGTTGCATTTCGCTCTGGGTGGTCGTTTTGAAGCTTCGAATTGCATACCAAGATATTCAAGCCTACAAGAGAGATCTTCAGTCTGCTGACCTATTGATCTTGCGGTTCGTGCATCTGGGACAGTGGTATCTCGCGATTGGAGAACCTACCAAGATTTTTACATACACGAACCAAGTGGAATAGAATGCGGAAGAATCTTCCTGCTGATGATTAACGTAAAAAGACTGTATAATGAGAAAACTTTGAATAATTTTTCCACTATATTATATATTACCTTCAGGATCAAGAAGTCTGGTAACGCCGTACTCGCGCTCGGCGACATAAAATACTTGATGGAGACGCTCGCGTGCTTGACAGGATCGAGCACTTCTCCAATCGATGAGGTCAGGACGGTTTCGATGAAGAAGTGCGCTGAATGCCAAACCATCTCTCCATGACCCGGTGAAGTCTGTCACGCGGACACCAGGATAACGAGCTGTTGATCGTCGTGCCCATCGTAAAAGAGCCTCTCGGGCAGTCACATTGGATTCTTGGCCAACAACAATGTCAGATATCTGTAAATAATCAGTCATAAATAACATTAATTATGTGAACCAACTTTTTTAACAATAGTTTCCGACACTTTTATATAAAGGCATTACTTAAAATATGTTTAAGCATAAGAATTAATTAAATAAAATTATTAAAAATATTCTTTAAATTCTAGTGGTTTTTAGCATGATATGTAAATCTTTGCATTTAAATTATTTTAATTAAAAATAAAAAATATTGAATAAATTATTTTTGAAATTGATTAAATGTTAACTCAGTTATTATTGTATTGTATTGAATCATAAATGCCTGAGAACACTTATGAAATGTTCCATTATTACATCCATAACAACATGTTTTAAATGATACTGATCAAAGTAAGATTGAAATTTATTTCAATAAATATACCAACCCAATAAAAGTAATATCATAAATTAATTCCCGAATCGAATATTATTTAAATGCAAAGATAAGCAAAGCATTTAATGAAAATGTAAATGTCCTCCTTAGATCATATTTTAAAATGTATAATACTACAGTACAAGCGAATATGTATGCTAATGTGGTTGATTAAAAGCCACGTTGTAGCAGATTCATATTTTATAAAACCTTTTATCTCATTAAATAAAACTAAGGGATATATTAGCGCTCACCTTTCGATCGTTTATATTTTCATTTATTTATTTTATTTTTATTTCTTTTTTTTTTTAAATCGTTCCCATAAGTTGTCATTTTATTTAATACCAGTACGAAGTATGAACTGACTGCATAACCAATAATTTTATGATTTAATTTCTGCTAATAACATTAGAATTCTACTGAATTATTATCCAGTTATGTTAAATACATAATAATACGTTTAACACAATTATAAACCATTTATCGCTTAGAAAAACAATACATATATCTAGGTATTCCAATTTGATTATTGGATTATAAAAATTCAATGATCATATCTAGGAAAGTCATAGTTATTTTTAAGCTTCAACCAAGGATTGTGGACTGTTTAATATAATTGACAGGATCTTGAAAATAGTTAAAAGCATGAGTAAGAGTTTAAATTTACTTTTAAATCATAAAAATCTAATTTTGACAGGTTTAAGTCGATAAAAAAATTTTTATTACCAAAGAGTGACGGAATTTTTTTGTTTACTATGTAAAAAATATGGAAATAAATCTTAATATATGCATAATAATGATTAAATAATTCTAAAAAAATATATTTATAAGAATAGAAATTATTTAAATTAATTATTTAAATAATTATGATTAAATGGTAATTAAAAATTGATATTCTATTTCAATGAAAGCATAAAAGTAGAAGAAAAGTAAAAATAGAGTAAATTGAAGAGCATAAAATGATTTAATTATTGTATCTAGTTGCTAGAAATTAGATGATGATTTTATAGTTGAAAAAATATCAAATTTTCTACCATGAAATTAATAATAAAATTATTTAAAGAATGGAAATAGAATATAAAGTGAAAATGAAATAATTTCTGAGGAGTTTTCAAATTATTATAAACAGTTGTATACCACAAGCGTATCTCAACCGCAAATACTTAGATAAAAAATAGAGATTTGCAACACCAGGAAGAGCCAATTGAATGATGGTCTTAACTTGACCTATCACGATCTTATAACTGAGAAATAGAAACTGTCTGGTGATGATAGTGGCACTTTATTTAACTACAGATCATTGAACCAAGGAACATTTGTTGAATCGATATTCTTTCACTGATCAATGATCATTGATTTACTATAAGGAAATTGTTCAAGATCATTATTCCTTTCATTCTTAGCTAACGGTCAGGTAGCATCGATTGATCTGAATGTCTTGGTGATCTTGATGCTGAACATTGTTAAGTTAGCATTAGAGTGAAATAAAATAAATAGCACGACAATGAAGAACAATAGAAACATGAAAAATAGATTAAATCATTGCGATTTCTATCAATTAGGCCTTTGTCTCAAGATGTGTCAAAAACACTTGATTGTTCTTTTGAAATAACGGAAGTGTTTAGACTCGCTGGTACAACCCTCGACCTTGATCATGACACGCACACAATTCGCCACATGATGGACGAGTAATTAGTTCTGGTTAGGTGGTAAGAGATATCTTTAAGAGAAAGCAGAACCACAACCACCATGAAATACAATCAACTAACAAGAAAAATGGAAAAACTTTAAACAGGTGAAAAATAATAATATTTTTATTTTAATTATCAATTTCTCATTATTTTGTTCCAGTAATCAATTATCCTATCATCATACTTCAACTTGTGATTTAAAGAAAAAAATATTTTCCAATAGAGTTGACTTCATTTCTATTTTTTACTAGTGATAAAAATTCTCATGCCTCGTAAATAAGTAATAAAAAAAAATATGAGATGCTTTAAAAGGAAAAATATTCAATTATTTCTGTTTTGTAAATGAAAATATTAGAATTTTTCTATAGAAATCAATCGAAAAGAATTGAAATTTATTTTATGTTTAAAGTGGTCATAAAAATAACCATATCAAGCTTAAATATTGAATATTTTCTTCAAATTTTATCCTAAAAACATGTTGATTATAATCAAGGAATTCCAGTGAATTTTTTTTATTGAATATCAATCAGAGAAGACTCATTTCATTCCCATTTGTCATTCATATTTGCCTTTCTGACTGAGAAAGTGGGCGAAAACACACATTGGGCGATGAAAAAGAAAGAATTAAAGAAGGTTTCACCACACAGGTTTTATGGTAGGCCGTAACATTATAGTCCTTGGTTTGTCTCCTTATGGGGCACGATAGCAGGGCCCGACATCACCATAACAGTCTTCATGACGTCAGGTTGAATGAGGCAACATCAGAGAGAAGAAATCCAGTGGGTGAGACCAATTGCTTGATCACTGTGGTGATAAAGTTACACCTATATTTTTGTATCCATCAAAATACAACTTCTTGTCATTCCAAGGGAAAGTTATTGTACACATCATCCAAATTGATGTCAACTGACTTTGTAAATTCAGGTGGCAAGAATGCAAAAAAGTCCAGCACACTTGCTTCTATAGCTTCATTTTATTGAAAAAGGTATTCACAGTTGATAATGCAATAAATAAAATTTTTTTCATCTTCTTTCATATTATCGTTTTAGGAAGAAATATAAATGATGATAATCAACATTCTTGATACAAATAAGGTAATCAGTAGGTGGCTATTAAGATCAGTTGAGCCTTAGCATGATGACATTGATGGCATTGATGCTGAAATGAGCATTTTTGTACACAACTAGTAGGTGTTAGTCGAATGTCAAATTATTAAAATATTACATAATGAATCTATCATTATCAATATTTTAAAATGTCTTCTAATATCTAAGCAGGTATCCAACTAGGTCAACTATTGTCATCTAGCCTTCCAAGAGTTTGCATATCTTTATTTTTCAAAAAAACCATACCATAATAGTTTCTAGAGTTTTCTTTCTACTTCAATTAATTCAATGACAATCAGAGTTAATTGTTTATCAATATCAATATTATTTACAAACAACATTGTAATATGTAAACTCGTTCCTATGCATATTTACAGAGTAAATAAATCAATAGTCAACAAATTGATAAGCAATGACACAAATGTCTTTCAAGTGTAGTTTTTTCAACAACTCTCGATTTCGAGACTTAACTGTCACCATTTCCTGGATTAGAAAGTCTTTAAACAAGATCTACATCAACGATTAACTCGGAAATAGTGAATAATGAAATGTGAGGAATGTTAATTTAGGAAAATTGATCAAGAATTAGATGAAAAAAAATATCAACATAACCACTTTTTTTAAAACCAACAAACAAATATAGAATATACAGAATAATTAATCCAAGTATTTCAATTCACTGAGCTTTCGCTAACTGAGAGAAAAGAGTTCGGTATGCGACCGGCCCTGACCGGATTTGTCTCTTGTTGTTCACAGACAAGTCTGCGACAAGGGAGAAAGGAGCATTGATCATTATTTAAAAGCTTATCTTCTTTATCAATTTGATCAATGGCTCAATGTCACTCTCTAAGGTTTTTTGGACTAAATATGTTCTTATCAGTTGTTTGAACAAGTTGCTAGATGATAACAAATGTATAGAAAAGTCTTAATTGTTGTTTACAATCATTATATATATATATTTTTAGTGGTAATTTGTTATGGAGAAAGTAGCATTTTCTCTTCTCTTACCCGAACAGTTTTGGCAGACTTGGCGTTAGAACTCTGCTGATTGCTGACCTTATGATATTGTTCAGACTGAAGTGACTTCACCTGAGCTCGATTCGTTAAATTCTCCGCTGTACTCTTCTCCTCTCCTCGAGTGAGAGTCGTTGTCTTCCGAATTATTCGCGTCACGATTCGACGTGCTCCATTCTCACCACGTTTCGAAGTTTTCGTCGACTCAATCGACGAACCTATCATTTAGATGGAGATGATGTCAACCAACCCAAAAGACATTTTTTCAATACCCAAGAATCATTTTTATACCAATCAAGTCAATCAATTGAGAATTAATCTAATTTTAAATTATTATATTGTAAATAATAATAAATATAAATAAGTATGCATGAAATAAAATGCAATTTTAATTTATTTGTTCATCAACATTGTCAAGCTTAATCATCTTTAATTCATGAATAATAAATTTGAAAAAAGAAAGAATAAGAACAATAAGCAATAAATAATTTTTTCTTTTCATTTTTTGATGCTAAAAATAGAATGGACCGATGACAAGGAGTGACCTGGTATCCTGAAGGACAACGCCAACGGAATCAAATTGATGTAGGAACAAGTTCCCCCTTACTCTTGTAACATTTACCTATACCGATATCGTTTACGAGGCCTGACCATTTAAAGGCCACGACACGTGGGCAAGATCAAGGTCGAGCTACGACGTCCTGATCAGCTGTTTCCTATTTTATTATTAATCAAAACTAACATGATCTGTTTATCTATAAATGTCTCTATTGTTCATAAATTATTTAACAGATCTTTAATAACTTGTAATTG